GTAGCGATGGATGTTCTTGAAGGGATTAGAAGTACTGATTACATTTATCTGTCTAGTCATACTTACATTTTACTAATCCATGTAATATATTCACTGGAGCTGCAAGCTTTGAGAAGTGGCATTTGTAAGTTAATCAACTGAAGTTTTAATTGATTGATCAGTAGGGGCCAATTTTAATAAGTGAGAGCAAATTTTACTTGGTGGAGCCACAATGTACATTTGTTTATTTTTAAGGATTATTTTGGTTATAGTATGTTACTGTAACAGGAATTTTTTAAAAATATGTCCAGGATGGCCCCTGCTTCTAAATATCCATAGCAGCTTTTGTTTGTCCCACTGTAGATTTTGCTTCTTACATTTTCTCAAAAAGGCTCCTATATTGAGGGTTTTATAATATGCAGATTCATGTACATTGAATTAGCTAATTCACAGGCTGAAATGAAGATGCTTAATCAACTCAACATTATTTAATTGGTCAAGAGTCTTAATAGTTATTCATGAAAGAGCCTGTGGGGGGGGGGGTGTTGTTGTTTTGCTGGGAATCACAGGTGGCCAAAAATGCAGTTTTGCTCATGTCCTGTTTGCAGGTGTCCCTTAGGAATCTGGTTGGCCCCTGTGAGGCCAGGATGTTGGACTAGGTGGGCCATTGGCCTGATTTAGCAGGCTCTTATGTTCTTATGTACCCCAGAAGAAGACCAGATAAATTTATTTCATGTGCAATTCATCTAAAGGGTAACCACACTTAAAGTCCTATTGATTTTACTGGGGGACTTAACCACATGGTTACCTTTTGCCCACTGAAATTGATTGGAAGTTAAAATGCTTTGGCTGCATCAAGATTTTTGTTCTTTGCTTTTTAGGTAATACAGTGGTACCCCGCAAGACGAATGCCTCGCAAGACGGAAAACCCGCAAGACGAAAGGGTTTTCTGTTTTGGAGGCGCTTCGCAAGACGAATTTCCCTATGGGCTTGCATCGCAAGACGAAAGCCCATAGGGAAATGCTGGCGGTCGGGAGCAAAGACTTTCGCCCACAGCCGGCCTTCAGAAGAGGACCTCTTCTGAAGGCCGGCGGGGGGCAAAAGTCTTTGCTCCCCCCCCCGCCTGCCTTCCCCCCGCCTGCCCGGGGCGATCTTAAAATGCTGGCGGGCGGGAGCGATGCGTTCGCTGCCGACCCCCAGCATTTTAAAATCTCCAAGGGACAGCAGAGAAGTCTCTGTCCCGGGGAGATTTTAAAATGCTGGGGGTCGGGAGCGAAGCGTTAGCTGCTGACCCCCAGCATTTTAAAATCTCCCCCTGTCCCAGGAAGGTTTTAAAATGCTGGGGGTCGGGAGCGAAGCGCTGCCGACCCCCAGCATTTTAAAATCTCCCCGTGTCCCGGGGAGGTTTTAAAATGCTGGGGGTCGGGAGCGAAGCGCTGCCGACCCCCTGCATTTTAAAATCTCCCCGTGTCCCGGGAAGGTTTTAAAATGCTGGGGGTCGGCAGCCCGACCCCCAGCATTTTAAAATCTTCCCGGGACACGGGGAGATTTTAAAATGCTGGGGGTCGGCAGCGCTTCGCTCCCGACCCCCAGCATTTTAAAACGCTGTTCCGAAGGGGGGGGGGACATCTGCCCCAGCCGCCCCACTTCGGAAAGCTGTTCCGAAGTGGGGAGGGGGGGCGGGGACACCTGCCCCAGCCGCCCCACTTCGGAAAGCTGTTCCGAAGTGGGGAGGGGGGGCGGGGACATCTGCCCCAGCCGCCCCACTTCGGAAAGCTGTTCCGAAGTGGGGCGGGGGGGGCGGGGACATCTGCCCCAGCCGCCCCACTTCGGAAAGCTGTTCCGAAGTGGGGCGGGGGGCGGGGACACCTGCCCCAGCCGCCCCACTTCGGAAAGCTGTTCCGAAGTGGGGCGGGGGGGCGGGGACACCTGCCCCAGCCGCCCCACTTTGGAAAGCTGTTCCGAAGGGGGGGGGCGGGGACACCTGCCCCAGCCGCCCCACTTCGGAAAGCTGTTCCGAAGCGGGGAGGGGGGGCGGGGACACCTGCCCCAGCCGCCCCACTTCGGAAAGCTGTTCCGAAGCGGGGAGGGGGGGCGGGGACACCTGCCCCAGCCGCCCCACTTCGGAAAGCTGTTCCGAAGCGGGGAGGGGGGGCGGGGACATCTGCCCCAGCCGCCCCACTTCGGAAAGCTGTTCCGAAGCGGGGAGGGGGGGCGGGGACATCTGCCCCAGCCGCCCCACTTCGGAAAGCTGTTCCGAAGCGGGGAGGGGGGGCGGGGACACCTGCCCCAGCCGCCCCACTTCGGAAAGCTGTTCCGAAGCGGGGAGGGGGGGCGGGGACACCTTCTGAAGGCGGGCAGGGGGCGAAAGTCTTTGTCCCCCCTGCCTGCCTTCCCAGGGGCTTTTAAATCGTCCCGGACAGCGGAGAAGTCCTCCGCTGTCCGGGGCGATTTTAAAATGCCGCCCGCCAGCATTTTAAGATCGCCCCGGACAGCGGAGAAGTCCTCCGCTGTCCCAGGGTTTTTTAAAATGCCGGGGGTGGGAAGAAAAGCCCTTGTCCCCCCCCCCAGCCTTCAGACGAGGTCCGGGGACAGACTGTCCCCGGACCTGGTCTGAAGGCGGTTTCCCTAGGAACGCATTAATTGATTTTCAATGCATTCCTATGGGAAACCGTGCATCGCAAGACGAAAAAACCGCAAGACGAAGAGACTTGCGGAACGAATTAATTTCGTCTTGCGAGGCACCACTGTACTTAATACTTAGTTGTTGTGTAGGTCAATTTAGTCACTAGCAGTCACAGCTTTCTTATATCCCAGTTCCAAAATGTTTCTTACTTTCATCCAAATTGTCAGCCACCGCAACACCCCAAGGCGGAGATATTACACACTTAGATTACAGAACTTTGCTAAAATGTGAGCATAGCTAGTGGGTTGCTTTCTGGACAGGAGTCAGGATCTGATGCTGCTGAATGTGGTTGTTAGGTGTGTGACCCTGGATTAGGAAATGGTAGAGTTGTTCTGGCAGACTTGCAAATGCTGCCTGGAGATAGGCAGTACAGTGGTACCTCTGGTTACGTACTTAATTCGTTCCGGAGGTCTGTTCTTAACCTGAAACTGTTCTTAACCTGAAGCACCACTTTAGCTAATGGGGCCTTCCACTGCTGCTGCGCCGCTGGAGCACAATTTCTGTTCTCATCCTGAAGCAAAGTTCTTAATCCGAGGTACTATTTCTGGGTTAGCGGAGTCTGTAACCTGAAGCGTATGTAACCTGAAGCGTATGTAACCCAAGGTACCACTGTAGTCCTTTTCAGTATGTTGAAGGGAGACACCACGGAGAGGCATCATTGCCTCTGGCAGGTATGCTGACCTCATTATTGTCTCTGGGTATAGACAAGAATAATAAAAACCCTTCTAGTTCAGTTTATGGAAAAAAGAGGCAAAAAAGAAAGAAAAAGGAGAGGACATGAGCACTAAAGATTACTCTTAGCACATCACTTTCAATTATGAAAAACTATCATCTTTCTCCAGCCCCCTATCTGTTGTCTTTAGCACAGATAGCACCACCCACCCCAAACAGGCTGACCTATGGAATTTATTTCTGATGATCCATGTGTCAAATGTAGGACTTTGGTAAGTTCCACATGCAGCATGCAGCACATGTGTTTTTGCTGCATTAAGCCCCTCCCCCCTTTTAATGGTATACTTAACATAGCAGTGATTCTTCTATTCCTAAGACCCCAGCTGGCTGCTTTTGACTGAACTGCTCAGTTGGCTCAAGAGTTCCTCTTTAAATCAGCTGCACAGTAAAGCTGGTCAAAATTTCTCACGCAGCTCCGGGTCTTCTGCAGACCAGCTGCTGCTTCACAGGGACAAGACTGGCCATTTTGACACCCTTCAGCCAGTTGAGAGGCATTGCCTCTGAATTAGATGGATTGCTTTCACAAACCCATCTCTGACCTTTATTAAAAAATTCAAAGGGCCAAATGTATACATGATGTTAAATGTATATTTGCATTTAGCATGTGGTTTTTTAAAAAATGCAGTCAGAATAAACTAAGGGAGTGTGGCTGCCAATTAATAGGTTAAGGGAAGGTATGGAAAAGGAAGTCAACAATTTCCTCCCCAGCTGTGGCCCTGAGAAAATTAGTTCTTCCAGTGACATTATTTGTTTTGCAGAAAATTCCTGTTTGGCACCAGTGGAGGAATTTCCTCCCAATACAAACATTAGCTTGAGACGATGAATTTTCCTCAGGACTGCAGCAAGGGAGGAAGTGGTTAAATTATCTCACAATACCTGCTCTGATTCTGTTAATTCCTTTCCATGCCCATCAACTGAAGCTATTTGCCTTTTTAAAACCCTGAATGTTGATTGCAAAGTCACATTTGGCCCTTTTGGTCTTAGAAGTTTGTCCACAGTTTGACTTGTAAGGCAGATAAAAAGTTTTAATGTTGTAAAAAAGATAAATAATTCACACTGTAATTTGCATTGCATTTTGATTGGGTATTTATATGCATGCAACATGTAAAATGCATACATTTGTATGAATTGTCTGAGTGCATGCACTCTTCATTCACTTCCTGCTAAGGTGGACCTTAGCTCAGTGGAAGGAATTTCTTGATTAGGGTGGGTTAATAGCACTCTATCACTGGTATCTCCAGTTTAAAGGATCTCAGGTTGCAGGGCTTAGAAAGACCTCTGTCTAAAAGCAGAGACACCTATTACAGTAGGCTTGAAGGATTCATGAATATAAGGCAGTTTAATAAGTTAATGGCACCAATTTTTTTAAATGGAATTTGGGGGGGCAGTTTTTGCTGCAAAATGCACCTTCAGCCTCTGCCCTACCATTTGGAGAATAGAGAGGCTCACAAGGATACAGAAATTGGACATCAGATGGGGTTCAAGACTTGCTATGTCCCTGGGTAATAGAGTAGACACATCCCCATTTTCCTTTTTAATTCAATACCAGGAATAGATTTGCTATTTATGAGGTTATGGTCCTATTTGTACTCTTTGTTAACAGCATGCAAGACAATACTTCAGAATCTTCTACTTCGATAACTCAACTACTGAGAGAGAGCTATTTAGCTGAAAACAACCGCCAAGGGAATAGTGAAAGAAGCAGATCAGAACCATCTCCACATTCTTTCCACCGTGGCAGTAGTTCGGGGCCTTCAGACGAGGTGGCTAGCCAAGAGGACCTTCCTGATCTTTCAGCCTTTTTGAGCCAAGAAGAGCTGGATGAAAGTGTGAACTTGGCAAGGCAAGCCATCAATCAAGATCCACTTGAGAACAAGCAGGACGAACAGATACATGTGTTCTTTCCCTCTGAGTTGAAAAACTCTGGAAATACAGTTTCAAACAAACAGCAGTTCCCATCTAAGGCAGCTTCACCAACTTCAGACAGCAGCCTAAGGAAACAGCAATTTGGTTCCGAGACAGAGTCAAAAAAGGAATTCCTCAACAAGGCTGCAGATTTCATTGAGGAGCTTTCTTCTCTTTTCAAAGCACACAATTCAAAAAGAATCAGGCCCCGAACATGCAAAAACTACAGGAGCAAACTTGAATCTAAAAATAAGGCTGCTCAGGACAGTGGTTCTGCTTTCTCAAATCTCTCTGAAAACAGAGAAAGGCCTTGTGACCCAGTACCGCAAGATTTAGCTGTAGCTGAGCACTCACTTGAAAACCCAGATAACCCTCCACAGGCAGACTTGGAAGCTGTTAATCAGCTAGAAAGTTCAGGGTTAACAACAGAGTCAGCAGCTGCATCGTTTTATTCTGAGGAGACAATAGGCCAACCACCACATTTTACTCAAAAGCTGAAGAGCAGGGAGGTCCCTGAAGGAACCAAAGTGCAGTTGGACTGCATTGTGGTAGGAATTCCAACACCTGAAATCAGGTAACCATGTCCCTGTCTTATTTCTGTAATAGCTTGCGTACACAGAGGGTGGATTACTGTATAGCAGTTAAATGTTTTCTCAATGTTTCCTCAGATTGTATTCTAAAAACCATACATTTCTCTTTTACAATGCTCCAGTAATTACCATATTCTGTCTCTGACCTTGGAAAGGTCACTTGTGACTGGCATAAGATTTATGCCTGTCACAGGTTTTGGGCAGCTTTTGATGAAAATGCCTTCAGTGGGCCTTCCTCCCTAGCTGCCCATGCACTTGTCCTCTCCTCTGGGCCCAGTCTGCATGACCATGCATGCAGTGATGTAGTGTGGGGGGCCAGGGAGGCCCTGGGTGCAAATTTATGAGGAGGCGCAACAAGGCACCCTCATGACATGCTCCTTCATTGAGGCAGGAGCTGCAGGGAGGCAAGCCATGCATGGGCTGGGGCTTCAGGGCTGGGGCGGCAGCAGCGCCGCCTCCTCCTCATGGCAAGGAGGAAGGGGAGGAGCAAGGACAGGAAGTTCTGAGGCTGGCACTTAAAAACTGTCCAGTGATGCAGACCCCTTGAAGCCTGCTCTGCGTAAGTCTCAAGGCATTTATTCAATAGTAAATGAAGTTTTGGTCATATATTTAATAGATACCAAAATGTTACTATCTGGTATTTGCCTCCCTACATAGTAGGGGTGGATGTCACCCTCACAAAGACAGAAAGAAAATCACAGCTGCACACATGGGAAGTACATAGCTGAAATTGAACTGAGTCAATGGAGCTGCAGACATGCATATACTACATCTGCATTTCCTTGGGGAAGGGACTGCATATGCAGTGCTTTCCATTGCAAGGAGAAGGGTTATGCTTTATCGGTACAGCATCTGCTTTGAATGCAGATGGCCCCATGTTCAATCCCTGGCACATCTAGGTAAGGCTGGGAGAGACCCTGTCTGAAATCCTGGAGAGGCACTGCCTGACAGTTTAGAGAATACTGAGCTAGATGAACCAATAGTCTGACTCAAGGCAGATTCCTATATTCCTATAGGCACACATGGGAGTAGCAGCACACCTGTCTCCATGGTAGACATTTAAGATCACTCAAGAGACAAGGAATTTCCTTCATATTTGCCTGTTTATGCCTGTGTGTGTGTGTGTGTGTGTGTGTTGGTGCACATTCAACTGCTGTTCCAATGATAGATTTTCAAGAAAAAATATATAAACATAAACATAATCAAAAGGATTAATTTCCTTCCTTCCCACTCCCACACCCCAAAACAGAAAACTACTGCATCAATTTCCCCCCATAAGTTTTTGTGCATAGTTGGTGTTCATTTGAATATTTTATAAAGGGGTACCATATTTCAACAAAGTTGTCTGTGTCAGATATGTCATTCAGGGTGTGTACTCTCTTAGTTAGTTTCTCAGATACAGCAATTGTCCATACATTGTTTCCATTATGCGATGTGTGATCAAGTCCTTTGTTGTTTTTTGCTACAGTATAAGTAATTGTGCTGCTACCAGGCGAAGGGTGAAAATTTCCTTGTGTAATAGCTTCCCATTCAGCTGTTAAAGGCCCCTTTAAAAATAAAACACCAATAATTGCTTGGAAAGATTAGTTTAAGGAAAGAGACTTGAAAGGCTGAGTCATCTGAGCCATAAAATATGTTTGCACAAGGCAAAGATGGCAAAATGCTTCTGTTCATGGAAAAAAAGCTGTGTATTTGGATCCAGACATGTCATACTGTGCACTAAGGTGGACCGTTTACAAACTGTCTAAAAAGAAGAAATGCATCAGCAAAAAAATAATAGCCAGAGTTGCTTATTGCTGCAAAACTAGAAATCATTGCTATAACTTAAATAGAAATAAAATGCATGTCACCATAGTGGGGAAGACTGTGATCAGGGAAACTGTCTGGTCCAGGTGCTAGTTCAAGTTCAAGGCTTCTCCATTCATTCTGGTGGTTCTTTATCTTTAAACCAGGCTTTGATTGGTCAGTCATTTAGAGAAAAGTCACCTGCAGACAGGGGACTGTCCTTCTATAGCCCTTCAAATAAAGGACTGTCCTCTGTAAAGTTGGACACATGGCCACCCTGTTGTGGGCTCTTTCCATTTGCAGGAGGGATTCTGATTCAATAGCACCATCCACAGGAAGAAGATGTTTTTTGTTTGCTGATCCCTTTTTTCTCCTGGCAACCCCACCTTTGCCATATCCCACACTGTTCCAGAGGATCCCCCAATCCTCCAGAGCAGCTCTTCAAGGAGTGATTCTTGCTCCTCTTCCTGAAGTGCTATTTAAATATAATAATATGATGAGGAGCACTAAGAGATTTTCAGGAGCAGGCATTCAAACTGTCTCAGGGCTGATTCACATATGCATGGGCATCCCTTTCTAGCACATTGCTCAGTGATGCATAGATGAATGGGGGATTTTTTCCCATTGAAAAGGTTTGGGCCCAATCCAATTCCCCTTTGCATTGGGGTGGGGGGGTTGATTGAGCAGAGGTGCCCTTCCACTCAGCTCTGCTAGTGTCCCTATTTCCCTGGCAGAGTCCCAACCAGCAGCAACAGAAAGCCTTGAAATGGGGCATTCTAGAGGCAGGGAGGGCTCTGCTCCAGGCTGGCACAGTGATCTGCCTGCCCACCATCTTTCGTCTTTGTCAGCATGCTCAAGAGGGCTGTAGATGTGACTGTGGCCCTATTACGCAGTGGCTGGGTGTTGAATTGCACCCATAGTGTTTAACTTCATGATTGTCTAAGGATACTAATGCTTGCTCTAAGGTGCTGGATCTGTGGTGGTCATTTCACATATGCAAGTCACTCCCTGATGTAGCAGTCATCAAGTGATGGGCATGCATGTGTGAACTCACTTTAAAGAATTCGATTTGCATAAAGTTTTATATCAGTCTGCTTCACTGGAGGTTTTTAAGCAGTGGTGAGATGGCCATCTGTCATGGATGCTTCAGTTGATATTCCTGCATTACAGGGGGTTAGATTAGATGACCCTCTGTGTCCCTTCCAACTCTACAATTCTGTGGTTCTAAATCTTTTCATAAATGTAAGGGTTGGTGAGGGACAATTCAATCTCTCGTACCTTGTAGTAAGTGGATGCACGCCAAATTGAATTGGACTTACTAGAATGTGTTTTGGAATCAGTGGATTTGGGAACCTGATGTCACTATATGGTATGGATATTGTGATACAGGTTTCAGAAAATGCATACAAAATAATGACAGATGTAATTATCAGTGGCCATTATTCAATGTGATCAGATGATATTCCTGTAGATTCAGTCCCTAAATTCTTAACAGCATCAGGAGTGAACAGCAAGTGAATATTCTATTACTACTCTATTTTCGTCTGTTACCCTATAGCAGCCACAGGATTGGCTCTTTGATTCCCCATTGCTGTATATGTTGCAGGGACTGTCCAAAATTCACCTTTTAAAGAGAGAGACACCAATCAAAGTTGGCAATGAACTACATGTTAGCATTCACTTCTGTATGTCTGAAATGTTGGTGTATATTCAGGGTGGCATTCACAAAATTCATTTGTCATTGTCAGCATTCATACATGCATATCATTTACCAACATTTGCTAACTTTTGGACATTCACTACAATATTAAATGTGGAAATGTTTCACCGAGACCGATAATTCCTAGAATCTGCCAGTCCTATGGACTGGAACTCTTTAGCTTGGGATCTAGTCTCAGATCACAGTAACTGGCTCTCAGCAAGTGAGATGAATGATATTCCCCGAAGCATTTTCCACAGGAAACATTCCAGGAAGCTTCCCATGAATGCCATATACTACGTCAGAGCTGGCCCACCGAGGCAGAATACAGTGCTAGATGGACCATGAGTGTAACCTAGTAAGGCCAGTCTTACGATCTTAGACATTTCCTCCATTGGTTGTAAGTGACCCATATTTGCCATCTCTACTCAGAGGTGCCTGCATTTTTTCCAAACTACTTAGCTCACCTCTGTTAGGTTAATTTTACTTTGGCTTGGCATACACAGCTAGCCTGACCCATGTCAAAAGGATTTGAAGCCCTATAAACAGGCTATGTGTCATGCATTTTCTATGAGAGCACTCTCTGGCAAATGCACATGAATACCTGAGAGAAGCACACTCTAACCATGCTTTGTTTGAGAATTCAGATCGTCTGCACTTAAGGTTCCTAACCACATTCACAGCCTGATCCTAAGAATGCTTACTTAGAAATAAGCCCCACAGAATTAAATGGGTAGTATTCTTTTACTTAGAGGAAACTCATTGAAATTAATGGCACTAACTCAGTCATGTTAATTAATTTAAATGGGTCTACTGTGAGTAAAACTTAGTTGAATGACATCTAATGGGATTTACTTCCTAATAAGTATGTTTAGGATCACAGCCACAATCTCTTCCAAGATACAGCATCCTTCTTCAGTTTATTTTTGTTTTATTGAGTTCTGCTAGAATTTGTCAGCACTAAATTGGGGAACAGATGGACCATAGCTCAGAGGTAGAGAAAGTTCTTTGTATGCACAAAACCAATAGCAATCCTTGCTATTGCCAGTTAAAAGAACTTAGCATGCAAGCAGAAATATATCTCTGCCAGAAATATTGGGAAACTGCTGCTGGTTAATGGAAGAGGCAGCATACAGTAAATTAAAAAACAATAACCTGAAAACAGAACAATGATACAAATATACACAAAAACTGAAATCAGTATAAAAAAACAAAATATTGCTAAATATAGCTGCTTTTACACTTCAGAAGTACTAAATTAACCTTGAAAAGTTAAAAGCTAAGCCACCACGATCAAACATTAGAGAAAATATTAAACAATGATGATGAAATTATATTGAAATGTTGCTTATAAGATATTAAAAGGCCCAGCTGGGACAATTAAGAAAAAACTTTGCTTGGTACCAAAAGATCATTTATGTGGGTGCCAGGTGAGCCTCCTTACGGAGTTTTCCACAACCAGGGGGGCACTGCCAAAAAGGCCCTCTCCCTCAGGACAACCTCCATATTTCAGAATGAAGGAAGCTGTTGATCTTAAGGCATGGTACTCCAATCCCAAGCCATGTCTCCTTACCTTCCAATTACCTCCAAGTCCCTCCTTACCTTCCAATTCATTTATGGGTCTAAGAGGTAAGGAGGGACTGCTCAGTATTCAGCACACTTACAGTGCTTTTATTGATGTGGATTTCTGAGGAAAGACGTCAGTCAGGAATGGGGAGAGAACAGAATATACCGTATTTTTCGCCCTATAGGACGCACTTTTCCCCCTCCAAAAATGAAGGGGAAATGTGTGTGCGTCCTATGGGGCAAATGCAGGCTTTCGCTGAAGCTTGGAGAGCGAGAGGGGTCTGTGCGCACTGACCCCTCTCGCTCTCCAGGCTTCAGGAAGCTCTGTGCAACCCTTGGGAGAGCTGCCTGTTCTGGGGGCTGGGGTCAGGGGAAGCTCGGGCTTCCCCCGCCCCAGCCTCGCGCCTGGGGGGGAAATATTTTTTTTTCTTTATTCCCCCCCAAAAAAAACTAGGTGCGCCGTATGGGCTGGTGTGCTCTATGGGGCGAAAAATATGGTATGCTTGGCACATATAACATCCCAGATACAATCTCTTTGGCAGGACAGGATCTTTCAGGACTGGGAAAGACCTCTGCCTGAGATACTAGGGAGCCACTACCTGTTGGAAAATGTCTTTCCAGGGCTAGATGGACCAATGGTCAGACTAAGTAGAAAGCAACTTCACATGTTTATGACATCCTCTAGTGGTATACAATACCACATGTCACAATGGTGCAGCAATTTTTGCTAGGCAGCAGTTCAACCTGGCAGATTGTGGCCGAACACCATTTTCATAAGATGGTCATGTGTCCTACTTTGCAGAGAGCAATGCTCTGTTCAAAGGGCTGTCCAGGCCAAGAACAATTTAATGATAAGCATAAGAAGAGAGAGCAAGGACCATGACTATACTCACCAGCGGTGAGCCCCTGAACAGGAGACTGATCAGGCACACCAGTCGCTTGGTCACAGTCTTCCTCACTATGGTGGGTTGCATTGCATTAATACTTAAGTTATAGCAATGATTTCTAAATATGCACCTCTACCTATAAATTAGGGGTGCAAAGTTAATCAAAATCACTGTCCTTTTGTACTGTGTTTCCTTGTTTCAGGTAATATGGAAGCAGCCTGTCTGTAGCACTTAGAGTTATGTCCCCCCCCCTTTCTTTACTTTTTAAATGTCACTTTATAACCATGAGTATCTAGTCACATTGTTTTGATTATTACAGAGGGAGATTTTCCTGTCCAGCAGCATTGCACCAATATGACTGATGGCAATGCTGACTTCATTATTTCAAAGGTGGATGTATATAGAGTAATACAAGCTACCAAAATGATGAATACATCATCTCTGATTCATCATTCATGTGCATCCATCAAGATTTCATGGCTTATGAGAAATAACACACAAGGATAAACCCAAAACAAATGTATAGAATTCTGTCCATAACAAGAACTATTAATTTATTGTGAATGGTATTACCATAATACAACAATCTACTGAAATTATGAATGAGTGCAACCCTGGTCATTGCAACTCAGCCTGATTGTGGCATTGCTACTATGCCAACCTACAGGAATTGGTATTAAATATATTAAAACATTTGGATATACGGATCCTGCTGGGTAGGAATATAGAAATACTAGATCATAAGTTCCTTCCTGCCCTATGTTTCTGTCATAGGTTACAGATTTGTTCCTGAAAGTTTGTCTGTCTAGAACTAAGCTATTCTGCACATGGGATGGGGAAAGCAAATTAGTGTCTTCTCTCATAAATGGGTAATGTTGTCTCCCATCTGATCTTAAAATATGAACATCACATGTAAAAATGACATGAGCTGTAGACCGTGTACACATTACTGGCTTAAAATGCAGTGGTTTTGTTCTTTTGCACAGTTTGGATTACAGCTGATTGGGAGGGAAACATAGCAAAACACAGTATTTCATAAGAAATTACAGTCTAGATACAGGATACATATGGATTGTGGCTAACGCTTCCCAAACCAGCTGTGGGAGTACACTAGTTACAGAGTAAATGGGAGTCTGTTTGTAGCCCTCAGCTGCTGCATGCCATGCATTCCAAATCCCTTTAATAAACATGTATTATTTTCACACTTGATGGTGTGAGTGTACACTTTTTTTTTAATTGTGTGTTCAAACCCAGAAACCTCCCCCCTAAAGTTGACTCAAATTTTAGTTTTGGTTTTTGGCAGAATTTAGGCCACAACTTTATTGATTACAGAAAGTGAGTGGTTGCATAGGCTCTGGTTCAACTAGCTCCCTGCCATGCAGGTAGCGCTGACCCAGGGTTCCAGCATAGGTCAGCCAAGGGTGAACACCTGGATAAGTGGAAAGCCGGGAACAGGCTATCTCCGCCACCCAAATGTCCCCCTGGACTCAGGCACGGGCAGAACCCCTTCTCAGGGGTTGACCAAACCATCAAGTCCCTGGATTCCTTTAACAGAATACCCTTCACATAGGGATGGTGAGAGCGTTCTCCCATCCCTATCACCTGAACCAGAGCCTATCCGCAACCTTACAAGTTGTGATGATTTGCTACGCGGCAGGCAAAACCCAAATGGCAACAGCCAATCAGCCAAGTGGGGAAAATTCCTGCTGTGCCCCCAGTGGCGTAGCGTGGGTTGTCAGCACCCGGGGCAAGGCAAGTAATTTGCGCCCCCGCACCGCACGCCTGGCAGCCCCCTCCACAGTGGGCGGCGGCTCGGATTGGATTCGCACAGCCAGCACTGCAGTGAGAGAGAGTGAGTGAGCCAGGTAGGGCAGAGAGCTGCGAGTGCGAGTGCGCCCCCCCGATGTTGCGACCGGTGCGGCCAGCCCCCCCTGCACCCCCATGCTACGCCACTGTGTGCCCCTGTCCCAACGACAGACGACACACAACGGCATAGCAAGGTCAAGCGCAAAAACCCTAAAAGTAGGGAGAGGAGGGCAGGTGTTCCGAATGCACGTGCCGAAAGAGAATGCTCTGGGTCACGTGCATGGGTATAAATAGGTTCCTCGAACTGTTTGGACTGTGTCCCATTGGCCAGATTGCACCCAGTTACAAGGGACCTACAACTGGGTGTTGTGTCTGACCAATCATACCCCCCACAACACAGGGTGTCGGTTTCCAGGTCTCAGCGCAATACATGCCCTCTTTAGGGAGGACCCGATCTGCGTAGATTATTAATGCACAGATTATCAATATGAGGAAGGAAGTCATCGCTTGAAGCAATTGTGATCTCTCTCTCATCTCCATGTTTGCTTTATTAGGCATAAGTTGTATTGCCCTACACTTACTCCTGCCTCCTGTACTACATAAGATCAAAAGAATTGCTGGATCACACCAAGTGTCTGCTCCAGCCTCCTGTGCCCAACAGAGACAAGGCAGATGCTTGTGGGAAGTCCACTACCAGTTAATGAATGCAACAACCCCTCCTAGCTGTGTTCCCCCAGCCTCCGCTATACTGCCTTTGGACAAGGAGATTAAATTGAGCCATTATGACCAATAGCCCCTCATAAACCTATCCTCCATGATCAGGTCCAGGGGCACCATCGGGGGGGGGGCAGGGGGCCAAGGCCTCCCAAAAGATTTCAAGCAGGGGGCTGAGCCCCCTCAATATTCTGCAGCCCGTGGGACTTAGCTGTGGTGGGCCCCATCAGACCTTCCCTTGGCTGCAACGGGCCCCATGAGGCCACCTCCGGCTGCATGACATCATACACATTTGCCTAAATTAGGACGGAATCCAGCGCATGTGATGTTGTCCAATTTTTTAAAAAATCCAGTGGCAATCACCACGTCTCATGGCAATGAATGCAATAAGTTAAAGCATTGGGTGAAGAACCACTTCCATTTCTCTTTGTCCTGCATCTACTGCCAGTCAAGTTTTATTGAGTAGCCCTGAGTTTTAGCTTTATGAGGAAAGAGAAGCATTATCTCTGTATCTGCATCAAGCATTATTTTATAAAGATCTACTGACATCCTTGCCATTTAGACCTTGCCTTTAGCTTTTTGTATATTGTTGTTTCTAATTCTTCCCCTAATAATATCTGCCTTGCTCTGTTTTAGTCTTGCCGAGTTTTAGCATTCCTTAGCGCTTCTTACATAGCCCAAGCATATTCACTGTATGTTTAAAGCACACCTCCCCCAACCCCAGAATCCTGGGAACAGTACTTTATTATTATTATTATTTATTAAATTTATATACTGCCCTTCTTCCGAAAATCACAGTGCATTTTACAATATAAAAACACAAAAATACATACCGTAACAACAACCAAAAACAATTTCCTCACACACCGCTTAAAAGGCCAAAGATCACCCTCTGGAAATGACCATCCAAGTAGGATCCCTCTGCATTTTCTCCTCACTCTGCTTTTTCTCTTCATAACAACCCTGAAAGTTAGGTTAGGCTAAGAGATAGTGACTGGTCCAACAAGTTTCTAGTCTGAGCAGGAACCTCAGTCTCTGTAGTCTTAGTCCAGCTCTCTAACCGCTACTCTACACCGGTTCTATCTTCTATTGTGCAACTTACTGATCAGCTAGTAGGATCCAAATACTCTCTTCAAAATGTGGCCCTGTTACTGTTAATAACTGAAGAGTGCAGGACATTCCTCTGTTTGCTTCAATGTCATTTGTGTGATGTGTGTTTCTGCTTAGGGTGATCAGGCATTGTTTTCACTGTTGCGTTTGCAGCCTGTCTCTTTGTCAAATGGATATTACAGTGACAAATAGTGCTCTTGCATTTCAGGTGGTACTGTGAAGGGAAAGAGCTTGAAAACTCACCAGATATTCACATCATCCAGTCAGGACAGCTGCATTCACTAGTTATTGTTGAAGCGTTTGAAGAAGACACAGGGCGTTACTCCTGCTTTGCTTCTAACATCTATGGGACAGACTCAACCTCTGCAGAGATCTACGTAGAAGGTAAAGGCCTCTTTGGAACAGAAAGCGCTTGATAATTAACAAAAGGAAGTTGTACTGTGAACTTGGTTTTATGTGGCTTTGCTGCATAGTTGTTCCAAATGGAAATCAGTGATCCAAGAGCATGGAATGCAAACAGTTCTCTCTTTGATAGAGTAAGGTACTTGAATTTATTTCTTCAATTAAAATTATTTGATAGGCAACATTTGCTTGTTTTCCACAAGCATTTGGTTGGCCAATGTGAAACAGGATGCTGGACTAGATGGGCCATTGTCTTGATCCAGCAGGCTCTTTTTATGTTCTTATGAGTGAGGAGGAAATAGCTGTGCTGAAGGGGAGATCGACTTCTTCTTGGCTAGGATAGATATGGCACAGCAACAGGTTAATTAGCCTATTTAGTCTTTTAGATAGGTGGGTATACAGACAGATAATCTAAATTTACTGTTTTACAGTCTGGTGTGAACATGGGCTCAGAGGGGATGGATAACCTTGCTGTTGTACAGTACTTTGAAAAAAATATGGCTCGATTATAAGGCAGCATCTTATATCCTTAAGATAGTTTTGCCAGGGTGACAGACACCCATTTGGCATGAAAGTGCACATCCTTTCCAATACCTCTTCCAGACTACTGTCTCCAGCAGTGGTCAGTTTTTGGGTGCTCTACGAAAGGGCATGAAGGTGATATTCTGTATACTATACAGCTTCCAAATACAAAAAATATCACAGCTGTAATTTTTTAAATATGCGATGCAACCACAAAAAAGCAGTAATGACTTAATAGTAGACATGTTGGCTGCAAAAAGTGGTCTTAAGCAAACCCACTTCGCTGTTGGGTGCAAGCACATTTTTTTGCTGTTGAATTAGCCCATATGTTGCTGTTTCATTATTGCTGCTGTTATGAAATTATTCTTCCTGTTGTTAGTTTTGTGCTTTATTGTTGTTCCCTTTGTTAAAACCCACTTGAAGAATGATTTTTGTGTAGGGTAAAAGTAGCATACAAATAAAGCGGTAATGATGATTTATTACACAAAAATACTGGCAGTGTCCAAACCAAAACACATTTTATGAATGGTGCTAGATTCCTATCTGCTCCTGTCATTGATTGAAGCTGAGTGGAAAGCAGTGCAGAAAAATGCTCACTCCAGCTAACCAACAGTTTAAAAGTAAGTATTACCCAGCCCACAAAGTCACAAAATGGTATTGGGAAATTAGTGCACCTTCATACCAAATGGGTATCTGTCACCCTGACAAAACGATCTTAAGGATATAAGATGCTACCTTATACCAAGTCAGAACTTTAAAGCTCAGTATTGAGTGGCACCGGATTTCCAGGGTTTCAGACAGGGAATCTTTCCCAGTCCTGCTTAGGAACTTTTGCATACAAACCTTGTGCTGTCCTGTCCTTCCCCGTGACACTTGCAATAGCAATTACAACCTTAGCTGGAAGAGAAATACTATTTTTAAGGAATATATCATATTGAAATTTGCACAATTGTACAGCGCAACGTTCCTGCGAAAGATGCATAGGCCCAGGGAAAGATGCAAGGATCCATCTCTACAAGAAGTTAGTAATAATTGTACATTTATCGCATAAATGAAAACCTCAGTGAGGAAGTTAAAAGGTATTATTAAATGTGGTGCCACGTAAACTGACTTTTGGTTTCCCACAGGAGCCTCCTCTTCTGAATCTGAAAGTGACACGAGCACCAGCAAAGAAGAAATGGATCAGTAAGTCCATGTGTATGAGAGCTAAAATAGATTAGACACTGAAGATCCATTATTGAATTTCCCACCAATTTATATTTATTTTGAAAGCAGCTGTGGGAGTGGCAGAGAATTGGATCGTGACCATAGTACTGTGAATGGAGGTTCTCTTTCCTCCTGTGCCATTTTCCCAAACTAGATAATCTCTCCTAGGTCGCTGTTTGTTCCATTAGAAGGGAAACCATACATGTACCATATGATCTCATTTGGAAAGATGGTGCAGGGGTGGAAGGTAAACTGTAACTCTAATTAATACACACATCTAGGAACATAGGAAGGCACACCCACAACGATCCTTTATTTTTTAAGTGAGATAAGGTGTGTGTGTTGAAGTGGACATCATCTTACAAAAGGCATTCTCTTTTTGTGTGAGAGAAAAGGGGGAACCTGCTGTTGGGAGCTTTAGTCAAATAAAGGTTTTTAAAGCAAACAAAATGACCTATCGGTGAAACTTGCTTTCTTTGTAAATAAATATACCTTCTTGGATATTTTCCCAGATACCAAAACCGCACCAAGATCTCTTCAAATGTGCCTCCTCCTCCTGCTCCTCCTCCTGTTAATACCACCCATCAAGAAACACCGAAACCACAACCTTCTATGGTACATCCTGTGTCGATACCCGCCTACCATGTAAGAGAGATAAATATTTATATCATTCAAGGAAGAGAAACTGTATAAGCTGGAGATCGCTTGCATGTTTCCCTAAGAGACGGGTGGGCAATCTTTTGTCTGTCGAGAGATATATTATGTGCTTTTGGGGAAACCCTGTTTTAATTCTGCTTCCAGATGGTTTTGAAAAAGCCATAGCTCAGTGGTGGAGCACATGCTTCTCATGCGGGATGTCCCAAGTTCTAGTTCTGGAAACGGTTCTTGCCAGACATCTAGGCGAGCTGTTGCCAGTCATTGTAGACAATCGTTAGATGGACTTCAGGAATTATTCAGCGAATGAGTGGGATAAGCAGTCAGTCTTCTAAAAAAGAGGGGAAATGTTGTGGAAAATGAACAGTTTGTGTGTCATCATGTCAGGCCTTCTGGCTTCTCCAGAGGCTCCAGAAGAAATGCTGAGGCTAATGTGGGACAGTTTTTATGTAACACCCTTAGGAAAATGCACTGATCCTTCTCTGCAAAGTTTGCATCAAATTGTTTTCCTGTGTCATGTTTTTCACGTGGACTTCCCTCTTAATCTTGCACTGGAGGAGGTGGGAATTACATAAGTGTCAGGACTAGGGGCTTCCTTAATCTGCTGCTTGATAACTGCTCTTGTATCTTTATCTTCCTGTTTTATCTTCCAGAGTCAAAGCCCCACCAACTATTTACAAGGACTTGATGGAAAGCCCATAATAGCTGCTCCAGTGTTTACTAAGGTAACTTACTTATTGCTTTTCCACAATGAGAAACAAATAGATGCTATCAAGAGGGACTTTAACCTAAAATGAAACAATATTTTTTTTTAAAAAGGGTCCCTAACTGTCCCCAGGCTGTTTCCTCTACCATAAAATATCTCTCTGAAGATCGGGGTTTTGGGGTTGGACCTCGAGTTGCATTCAGCGGAGCTCTGCTCACACTGGAGGAAGGGGGCAAGGAGGCAATGTTTATCAATTCTTTCTTCCCTCTGCAATCCCCTGAACTTCCTGAATAAGCTGCTCTGGGGGGGATTGAGGAACCTCTGGGGGTAAGGACCGTGCAAAGTGATGGAAGAATTGGCACAGGTCAACTTCCATTGGAAAGCCTTTGATAGATCTTGGTTCTTTCTGCAATTGCAATCACCGATCTGGATCCAACCCAGCATTTTCAAGCGTGGTATCTAGAGTCACTTTTGTAGAACAGATCAACACATTTTTATGTGCATGGCTATTTGAAAACACTACATGTCTCTGCACTGCAGAGTAAATAAAATTTCCAGCGCACATAGACATTCAAAGGTACAGCTCTTCTTAACACAGACAACTATTGGCACATAATTATTCAATTTTAATTTTAAAATTACAGTAATTTAAAACCATGTTATGGCCTGTCTCTGCTTTAGATGCTACAGGAAATATCTGCCTCTGAGGGCCAGCTGGTTGTGTTTGAATGCAGAGTGAAAGGAGCCCCTTCTCCAAAGGTTGAGTGGTACAGAGAAGGGACGTTGATAGAAGACTCCCCGGACTTCAGGATATTACAGAAAAGTAGGCTTTCGTTTCATTGCAGACGTTTCTTTGGAAAGGGTTGGCAGTACTGAGGGTTGCATGGGCGTAGCCAAGGGGAGGCAGGGAAGGGCAGCTGCCCCTTATTGATAAAAATCAATAAAAATACATAGCTAACTGAGGTTCTGCACCCCCTAACAAAAGTCTTGCCCCACCATAACAAAAATCCTGGCTATGCCCATGGAGAGTTGTAATATTTTGTTGTATGCTAGATGTAAATGCACCTGAATAGTAAAAAGTAGTGAGCCATGGTATTTCCAGAACTTACGTTCCTTTACCACAATTTGTAAAATAGTCATTGCTGTTTCTGTAGTGCATTTCAAGGGTTCAGGGTGCTTACCATGTGTTTTCTCAGCAATCCTTACAACAACCCTGCAAGGTTTGTCAGTGCGGTGGTTGATTTTTGTGATGTATTCTCATTGTAAGCAACTTTGAGCATATTTTTTGTGGAAAGGTGGCACACACAGAGATGAAGTGGTGTTGGTGGTGGTGGTGATTACATTAAAGAACTTGAATAAGTTAGGCCCATTCATTTTGAAAAAATAGTTAAGACCCCCCCCCATTAATTACCTGGTGGGTCCTTAGGGTAAACACTGAAATAAATATTGAATGGAGTAATGTTTCTCTTACTTTCCTTTAGAACCTCGCTCTATGGCTGAGCCAGGTAAGTACACTTCTTTAACTTATATGCATAAATGTTCCATTATTTGAGCCTTACCAAATGCCACTGTGGCATACACAAGCTGAAGCAAAAAGTAAAAAAATAAATGACTGCAGTCTAGCATTCCAGTTCCTCTTCCAGAAAGTGCACAGAGACAGTCATGGCTAATGTATGTTTTTATATTCTTGTACACCGCCCTCAATTTTTATGAGAGGGTGGTATATACTTTTATAAGTAAATCAATAGCTGGTATTTATTTATTTAGTCACGTGTTGTATTTGTATCCTGCTTGTCAGACAATTACTGTCTTCCAAAGCAGCTCACATCAAGGGTGGGTGGCGAGAGACTATCAAGCACTGCTGCCAAGTGTACAGACACACAGAAGGGAAGGGAAAGGAATCATCAGCTAGTTAAGGCCAGAACGAAGAGGTGAGCTATGTGGGCATTTATATCCAGTTGGGGCCAGGCTGATGTTCCTTTGCTGGTGTTCTTCCTTGAATAGCAGCTGGCATCTGAGCTTTGGCCAATGGATGGGGCCAGCCTGTTCTTTCCCCTCATGCCTGCAGTCCCAGGGCAACCAGCAGTTGGGGGTTAAATGTTAATTCTGCCAGGAATGGGGGAAGAAAGTCATTGCAGCTGCTCCTTCTCTGGCTAATGGATGAGGCAAAGTTGGTCACTATGTTTTTCCTAGGAGGCAAAAGCAGTCTCCCATAGGCCTCAATCCTTGGCTGATTGCAGAGGCCAGAATGTGCTGCCTTCAGCTTTGCAGTCCCTGTGTAAGAGAAACAGACACATTTTCTGCAGCATTGTGCTACATTATCAAGCACTCTGCTCTACCAAGCATTGGATTGCTGGCATAGTGGTGGGTCTGCTGCCTTTTATATCGTTTTCTGTTGAGAGTAACAGAGATGTTATCTGCTGTGAAGTTTACCATCAGACTCATCTAACCAGTAGGCCATGCCCTTATCTCCCCTACCCCTTATAGGCCAAATATCACTGATGGGCCGAGGCACCCACCTGTCGATCACCTGATGTTACAGTGATGTCAGCTGACTTGAAAGCACCATGCAGGGCTTGCAAAGAGCCCCACACGTGTGCTGAAGTGCTGCTGATAAGCAGACTTGAAAGTCTGCTTACTTCAGGGATTCACTGCGCAGTCAGGTTCCCTACAAGAGAGCTAAGTCACACAGCCAGCCGCATCTCTACCTACCCCACACCTGACTTCACATCTGATGTCAGGTAAGGGGCAAGTAGTTGTGACCTGTGGAGGCAGCTGACAGCAGGCCAAACTGGGACCCATGATGGGTCCAAAGTTCCCCAACCCTCTGCAAAACCCAGCAGCAATCATATATCTAGTTAATGGGTGTAAGCCATATTGAACTCAACAAGGTTTACTTCTGAGTAGAGATGTATAGGATTGTGCAGTCCTGTACATTTCTACTCAGAAGTAAGGCCCGTTGAGTTCAGTGGGACTAATTCCCAGACCATTGGGTACAGGATTGCAGCCCTGGAAAGGCTGCTAAAGCGGACACTAACTACTTTCATTGGTGGGGAGATAAGGATCCTGTTCTCTCCTGTGATTGCTCTTATTTCAGATCAGAGGACTGTTCTTTTCCCAGGCTAGATGTGAATGAAGGAGTCAGTATTAAATCCTTTCTTTTCTCCAGTGTGAAATGTGCACCAGATGATGTAGGGATGTCCTATTTTTATCCTGCTTGCCAGTTGGAGAGTATTGTGTCACACCTCAGGCCATGCCAGTTATTCTCTCTTAACCCTCAGCTCCCCACATCCGCGCCCCACTCATGAAATCTGAGAGTACCACTTCAGGCATTCCACCTCTGAAACCGGAGAATGCCACGTCGTGCATTCTACCTCTTGAGAGGTGAATCCTGACTATTACTAGATTTTTTTCAATGCATTCCAAACCAGCGCAGATTTTCTGCAGGCAATGCTGAATTAAAGGGCATGGAGACCCCATGCAGTGCCATTCCTCTAGATCCCATTGACATGGCACTCCTTGTGCTCTCTGAAATGCTTTTGATGGTGAAAGAAGACTCACTTGTTTGTACATGATGTGAGAGAGCACTTCATAAAAGTGGCACAGACGTTCCCTTCCTGCAGGGACTGGCAGATGGGATGCCACCTGCCAAAAGATGTTGAGAGCGTTCACCTCAGAAGCACACGTTTTCCTCTCCCCCAAAGGCTGCTATTCCAGAGCAACTGAACAAGTTTAGATCATGTGAGAGCCAAGAAGGTTTAACTGTACTGATTCTAACTACATGGGTTTTGGATAGTGACATCGTAAAAGCAACACAAAAACAATTAGCCTAGGGTGTGTGCGTGTGTGTGAGATAGAGAGATCTGACACTTTTCAGAACTTTAGACTTATAAGATGCTTAAAGGTGGTACTGAAGGGTAAATAAAATGCTATTCTGTCAGCCAATAGACATTTGGAATATACACTCCAATGAAAGGTATAGACCAGCAACTAACATACAGAAAGATAGGTGAAAAATAGGTGCTAGTCTTCTTGGAATCATAGACATTTTTAGTTTGAAGCAGCCCTGGACGTCATCTTGTCCAACCCCTTGCTCAGTTCAGGAATCTTGCAGCTGTAGCAGCCCTGACAACATGTCACCCAGCCTCTGCTTAAGGAAAACCCACCACCTCCGAAGGCTGTCTGTAAGGTTTGCTTACAATATCCTCATATTCTACTTCAGCCATCTGGGGCAACAGAGAAGAGGTCTGCTCCATCTTCTGTGTGACAGCCCTTCAAATATTTGAAAACCACTACCAAGTCTCCCTTTAACTTTCCCTTCTACAAGCTAAACATACTATTTCAATTGTGTACTCATAGGGCTTGGTTTCCTATGAAGCAGCCTGAGAACATGTTTGTATTTATACTGTATATATAGAGGCATATATATGGAAACAGTTTCCATCTTCCATGACTCCTATACCTGAAATCTGTTTTTCTGGGGCAGCATCAAAACCAGCAGCCTAAGACATTCCCCTGCCAGTTGAAAATTTAACCAGCAATCTCTTCCCAGTCCCCTGCCTTCCCCAAACTAATATAGGGACATAGGAAGCTGCTTTATGCCGAATTGGGCCATTGTTCCACTTAGCTCTGCATTATCTGCATTGACTGGCAGCTGCTTTCCAGGATTGCAAGCAGAAATCTTTCTCAACCCTACCTAAAGATGTCAGGGATTGAACCTAGAACTTTCTGCATTTAAAGCCCTGCCACTGAGCTATGGCTCTTCCCCTTCAAGAGCCATAATCCCTGAGCCTCATTACAACAATGCATGGAAATTTCAACGCGAGTTATGGAACAGAACATCCTGGTGGATTGTGTCTCATGGGCCAGATCTGCTTGTTGCTCACTCTACTGGCTTTGATGGTGCTCAAAATTAGCCCCTTGCTTGATATTTGATAGTGTCAATTCTGGGTTGAATGGCCACTTTCCTCCACATATTGTGATGGCTACCAGTATTTTGAAAAATGCCACAGTTAGCTACATGTCTACTACTTTCTGGTCATGCAACAAAGAAACAGCAACACCGTTGCCAGCTGAGTATAATTATTAAAGTAGTCCCAACAGGGCACACTTGGAGGGCCCCCATTTACTGTATCTGGTACCCTACCCTATAGCATGATTATTTTATTTGTTAATTCGCACCTGCTCTGTGGTAAAATTTGCCAATTCCGTTGTGATGGTTTTCAGAGGAGATTTGCACGTTGGTCATTGCGGAGGTGTTTTCAGAAGATTCTGGGAGTTTTACGTGCACTGCAAGCAATAAATATGGGACAGTCTCCAGTACAGCTCGCTTAACTGTAAAGGGTAAGAGAAGACTGTAATAATCCCTTTGCAATAATCACAGACATATTGATATGTGGCCTGAACTTCAGAGAATATAGAAAAGTGTTTGGGTTCGGCAAGGAAGCAGCCTTTCTCAAATACATTTCCTCCACTGTGAAAATATTTCAATCCAATCTGGTGACATATCTCAGTTGAATGTGCCTAAAGACACCAATTTCATTAAAAGTTTGTATTATAATAATGGGGGGCTTATTTTTTTTTGTTCAGGTGTTTCATAATTATTGATTAGTATTGTGTGCTTGTGAAGGGGTGACTAAACTGAAACAAATAAGGAAAATAAAATGTGACAAAAATTTAAAAGGCGTATTAAAATATTAGTCTTGATCCATAGATCCACATGTCAGTGGGGTTCTAATGTCTTTTATTTTACCAGGCATACGTTTAACGTTCCTCTCATCCATGTTCCTACTAGTCAGGATTCATAAATTTGACTTCTATCACTCTGTTTTCACTGCTTTCTTGAGTATTTTTAATCAGGATTGTGCAGTTACACTGCCGGAAGAGCAGACCATTTTTAACTGCTCCTTATCTGTCACCAACTTAAACAAGGCTTGTTTACACCAATTGCAAGAAAATCAAGTTTAGAGTACCTTATTTTTCGCTCTATAGGACGCACCCGACCATAGGGCGCAGCTTGTTTTAGAGGGGGAGAACAAGGGGAAAAAATTATCCCCCTTTTTACAGCTGTGGCCTGTTGGCTTTGCTAATAAAGTTTTGATTTGATATCCCCCTTTCTGCTCAGCGCCCCTTCAGCGAAGCGGCAGGAGAAACGGAGCCCCTTCCATTTCTCCTCCCGCTTCGCTGAAGGGGCGCTGCGCAGCTCTCCCTCTCTGCTGAAGCCAGGAGAGTCTTGCTCTCCAGGCTTCAGCAAAAGGAACCCAAAGCCTCTGGAGCGCAGCAGGAGCTCCCGCTGCACTCCGGAGGCTTCAGGCAGCTATCCCTGAAGCCTGGAGAGCGAGAGGGGTCGGTGCACACTGACCCCTCTCGCTCTCCAGGCTTCAGTGAAAGCAACGCGAAGCCTCCAGAGCGCGGAGGGAGAGCTCCCTCTGCACTTTGGAGGCTTCACGTTGCTATCGCTGAAGCCAAGGAGCCTGCATTCGCTCCATAGGATGCACACACATTTCCCCTTAATTTTTGAGGGGGAAAAGTGTGTCCTATAGAGCAAAAAATACGGTATTTTAGGTCTCTCTGATTAATATGTGTATGCTATCACTGTAATCAAGTTCAGCATATACAGTATTTGGGTCACAGGCACACATCCCCAAACAAAAATCCTAAAATATTTTGTCATGCTTTCAGTAATCTGATATGAGTGACAAAGCTTGCACACCACTCAAAATGCCTTTTGCCCCTTCTGTGCACCCCTGTTGTCACTGATTTGTGTGATGAGTTACCAAGGCCATAACTGTAATGCTTGCTATTCCAGGACCTGAGGACCAGAATAATAATGCTGCTCTCCATACTATAAGTTCTATCAGTTTAGTTGCTGCTGAGCAGCAGCCTTCTGCACCTGCCCCTTCACTTCCACGGGTGGATCAGCCTCCAAAGCCTAAACTGGAAGGAGTTCTTGTAAACCACAATGAACCCCGGTCAAGTTCCAAGATAGGCCTTCATGTGCACTTTAAGCTTCCGGAAGATGATCAAGGAAGTGAAGCTTCATCAGAGGGTGGAGGAGTGCCTACAAATCAAACCAGACCAAACTGCTTCCCGGATAAGATCAATGGACAGATATTTAAAAACCAGGAGCTAACCTCACCTTCTAAAGAGCCACCTCCTGTGTTGGCTAAACCAAAACTGTAAGTAAGAAGGCATTTTTAAAGCTTTAGCCATGTCTGAAATGGAATTCCATTTTAATTGTTACTTATATTCTTATTTCAAGCAGAAATTATATTATGTATAATATGTATAGTATATTATGGCCTGATTCGCACGTCACAATGGTTTTCTTATGGGCCCTAATAAAGATTTCATCCATTTTTGTTTTTGTATGCAGGGATCCCACCCAGTTAAAACAGCTACACACCCAGGTCTTGCTTGAGCAACAGCAAACACAGCAACCATCCCCCCCACCTCCAAAAGAGTTGCCATTCAGTACTGGCACACTGAACTCTGCTACTTCATCCAACCAGCAACAGCAGCAGCCTTCATCGACTACATACAAGCAAAACAAGGGTCCCTCGACACAGACATTCACCTACACCCGTCCTAAGCAGTTCCTGGCATCTCAGAACACCACCCCAGCTGTCAGCTCCCCTTCCAGCTCCCCCATGCCTTCATTCAGCAACATACCACAAGGATCCCAGAGGACAACCAACAGGGAGAACTTCCTAGGATCCCCACCAGCCCAGACAAGGCCTCCAGGAGGGTTGGCAAACCAAACTGAGCAGCCTCTTACAAGTCCCAAAGAACCTGTGTTGCCACCACTGTTGCTTTCTGTATCTAGCATGAATCAGTTCCAGCCGCAAAATGTGCCTCCTACTCCTCTCTCTCCAACTGGTCGAATTCAGAACCCGGTAGCCTTCCTCAGCTCTGTTCTACCTTCTCTTCCTTCTACACCCCCAACGAATGCCATGGGTCTACCTAAAAGTGCGCCAACTCCGTAAGTGATGAAAATGTTACACATTCAAGTTGGTACGAGGGAGCCATTGTGAAAGCACAGGCAGGGATGGTTTGTCCATAGGAAACATCTGCCAAATAATAATTGTGGGGTAGGGTGTTTTGAGCACAGTTAACAAATTGGCCTCCATTGTTAGAACCTATACATTGATGAGCTATTGAAAAAGGAGGAAAAGTGGTCCTGTGAAGGAAAGCTCTCCAGGAATCTGTGTAAAATATCACAGGCAAGGTTATTTTTGATATTCTGTATTTAGAATATCCCAAATCAGAAAGTGTATGGTAGGGAAGAGGAGGATCTTTTTACCATGCATGCTTATTCATTCTGTCAGACCACTATGTACTTTCTAGGCCAGGGAGTTCTGAATTCCACTTAGCACTTTCTATTCTTTTGCCCAGGGGGAGCACTATTGATACAGCACTGTATGAACCTATTGGGACAGATCGTCTGGAGTTTAGTGTCACCAGTATGCCTTGTACCTTACTAGCTAAACATCCAGTTGCTGGCATTTCTGTCTTCCAGTGTTTGGAAGCAATGATCAAATGAACGAGGTTGAACAGACTAAAACTTAATTCAGACAAGCTGGAGCAGGTGTGCCCTGGTGGGGTTAAATATTGATATTAATTAATAAAGGTTGCAAACAGTGCTTTTGGGGGGGTGCAGGGGGATGCATACCCCTAAACATTTTGTGAATCTAAGTTTGGCCTCATTGAGGGGCAGTATTTCAATATGAGTAGAAAAATGAGAGTACCCCTAAACAATTGTGGGGGGGAGCACTGGTGGGAAGCAGGTTTTGTGGTCCCTAGAGCAGTTTTTTATCAACTTCAGCTATTGCACTGGCCATGCTGCTTCTTTGAGGACAGGGATCCCACCAAGCTGGTGTCAACCTTTGCATCCTCCAGACCTTATTATTGCAATGAGTTTCACTTGCATTTTGCTTCACTTTAACTGCATTTTTAGCTTTGGTTAATTTATTTTTAACAGAAGTTTGTGGCATCTCCAGGAACTTTATACTGGATATTGTAATAGTATCCATAATAGTTATCCAGTGGGTCACAGCCGTAGTCTATTTAGAACTTGCCATCCTCTTTCTTCATTAATGATTGGGATCATTGACTAAGACCTTGGTTCCATACAGTGTGTGTGCACTAGCAAGGGCTATACCACTCAGCCCATGAAATAAATTGCAACTGCACTGATCAGCTGTTTGGTGTAGAGGGTGAGAGTTGAAGTCCCCCTCATTGCATCATAAGTTACAGAGCTGGGTGTACTCAATCCACATATGGACCCTAGCTGGATCTGAACAGCTTCTTTTTGTTGGCAGTGGTTTTTTGTAGGAAAAAGAAAAGAAGCATGTGTTAATGAAATGCTAAAGCAGCATTTTAACAGAAGATTTGTTTTGTAGTGGAAGCCAGGGAACGGTGAAGAAAAATCTTAGGCCTTTGCCACTGCCAACAGAAGATTCAATTAGAGATCACAAAGCTGCTGTTGTCAAGGACCTGGAGAAAAGACTGCATTTACGGGATGATGTATTTCCACATGGCCCGCAGGTAAGAGCACTGCCTACTGTTTAAACATGTGCTCTTCTTGGACCTTCAGCCCACACCTTGCTTCACACACCTAACACACTAGGCTAGCAAAATATCACACTGCATGGCATTATGCCCGGGGATAGTGTGACATTTTACTGGCATTATAGGCACATAGACTGGCCTAATGTTTAGGATCAGAACATTAATCACTGTCAGCAGGGCTGCTGATGAGAACTCGTGTGTGTATATTCAGGTGCAGCATCAGTGTCTGGTATGGTGAGGCAAATGGCAGGGCCCCACAAGACCTGCTGCAGCTGCTGCTGCTGCTTGCTGCCATCCTCTTTTAAAGCCATTTTCTGGGTGGCAGTGCTCATCCCAGCACAGTGAAGAGAAGTACCAGGTGAGGCTGCATCCACCCCATCTTAATTTGAGAAGAATTCCTCTGGACTGCTATGCTAGAGTCCAGAGGCATTCTGGGGAATGAAGTTGGCAGTGGCTGTTGCAGCTGCTCCACCAGGCACTTCTCTTCTCACCGCTAGTCTTAGCACTGCAGTTTCTGCTCAGTGCTTCCTGTTAAGCTTATTGGAGTGATGGCGGAGGTGGAGGAGAGATCTGTCAGGGAGGTGCTGTTTGATATTTTTTTTAAGGGTTCTAATCCTTAAGGAAATGGAGTTTGGCTTGAAATTGTGTGGACTTCTCAGAAGGGGAGAAGACTGAGTGATCAGTGGTGAGAGCTTCTGCTGCTTACATAGTTCTTTGATTCACTTCTCAGATCAGAGATGAGCTTTCTTGAGTGCTCATAGCGTCTTTGTAAGTGACCGGAACACTGATCTCCTAGGATGCAGGAGACTTGTAAACTGGATTTGCTGATTGCCGCTAGTTCTAATGACCCAACAAAGCTACCATAGAGATATCAAAATTTTCATAAGTAGGGAGTCCATGGCTTGGCTTTTGAAAAACTGGGGGCTCCGCAGTACTTAGCCAATAGGGAACCATGGAACTAATGGATATCAGAAATACAGTTGTTGTTATTTGTGACTTTCTACAAAAAAAAAAAAAAAGAGTTTTGCCTCAAAGCGACTAAGAATTTAAATGTATTTATAACCACACGGCAAATGTTTTATGATGCCCCTAGACATAAGTAGTACAAGAGAAGGGAAAGAAAGGAGGAAAGAGGGTGATGGAGAAGTAAACATTGTTTCCTAAAAATCAGAGTTTTGGATGGGGTTTCCTCTCACCCAAGATGGAACTTTGAAAAATATGATAGCCCTGTTTGAATTGGGAGCAGTTGCAGGATAAGTGAATGTGATTGCTCCATGGTGTAGGGTAAGTACTGTTGCACACATTAAAATATATTCTATTTTTAACTGTTGTTTCACTTGACCCAGATTTGAGCCCTGTTGCTGAAAACAGATTCAAGGGCCAAGTGTGGTGACTTGGAGTCCAGTTAAACTCTGACCTTGTTCCTGTATATATAAACTTTGAAGTAGCACATAGGAATGTACTAATGACAATGCAGGGGCAATTTTTCGTCTTCAGCGGGTTTGCGAGGAGCTCCCTATACAAACTTAGCTGTAGCTGCCATGCAGTGCATGTAAATCAGCTGCCCCCACCCTTGCCCAAATATTTATATTTACAAAAGGAAATCAGCCTGGAAGTAGACTGCCACAGGCAATAACTTAGGTGATATGGTTTGTTGACAGCTCTGGGGACATAGTCACCTGCCAAACCACTTCTAGTAAGTCACAGGCACATGATGGGTCTTTGCAGATGAATCATAGGTGCTAAAGTCTGTACTTGCTGAAGCGGTGAGATGAATTTCTTAGAAGGCTACTGTGAAATACCACCCAATCCTTTATGTTAACGGCATAATAACTCCTTTAGAAACAACAGTCACTTTGTGCTGATGAGAGCATGAGCTATTTATTTATACTTGATGTGATTGAACAGTGAGCCAAGAAGTTTGAGGCTGTAATCCTGTGCACACTTACCTGGGAGTAAGCCCCACTGAACACACTGGTATTTACTCCTGAATTGATGTGCATTGGATTGTGTGATATGAAATGTTAATTTTTAACCATCTTTAATTACCATAGTAATAGATTGTGATTGCCATTTACTTCATTGTCGTTTCATCCAAAGCATTTTCATTCTTTCCATCTCTTCATCTTTCATTTCCCAATATTTTCAGCAATTGACCACTTGGGGTGGGGTCTAAAAGTACTTGCTCTAGGATATTTTTTGTGGCAGGGGTGAGGAGTGTACCTTAGATCAGGCACCTACCCTTAACCTGGGAGAAGTGGAACATACTAACATGGCACATCTGACCCTTTTTGGACACTCCACAAGAAGCGTGAATGGCTGCACTTTTGTGGTGCTGGGCCCCTTTGCAGATCTTGACATCACAGCAAATGCCCAACTGCACCGCATTCTGGTGCCAACCCAAGGGACCAGTGTAGTTTGTGTGAGCAATCAAAAGTTTGTTCATTAGTTTGTTGTATTACAAGTATATTTAAAGCACTTGATGTTTTAAAAAATCAGGTTTTCTATATCAGTGATAGATCTGGGCTTAATGAATAGTTTTTATAAAAGCTGAATGTGGAGTGCAGAGAGCAGAGTTCTAAACCCTTCAGAATCATCAGCTTAATTTATTGGGCTGACCTTTCCCAGAAGCTCTGCTGCTCTTTTTGCCAGCATCTGCTTGTGCTGCTCACACCGTGTCGTGTGTACTGCCTCAATTCCCACCTGTCTTCCTGAGATGAGGTAGGGGAAGCTGCATGAAAGAAGCAGGTGTAATATGCTAACGTTGCCCCTACGTGAATCTGCCCAGTGACATCTCAACAAGTCATTCCTCCTGCACATTTTGTGCTCCATTGGCTTAGGTTTTAAAGATATTTTTAATGCTGTTTACTGTTTCTGTTTGGGGGACACGGGTGGCGCTGTGGGTAAAACCTCAGTGCCTAGGACTTGCTGATCGCATGGTCGGCAGTTCGAATCCCCGCGGCGGGGTGAGCTCCCGTCGTTCGGTCCCAGCTCCTGCCCACCTAGCAGATCGAAAGCACCCCCAAGTGCAAGTAGATAAATAGGTACCGGCTTTATAGCAGGAAGGTCACGGCGTTTCCGTGCGCTGCGCTGGTGCTGGCTTGCCAGAACAGCTTCGTCACACTGGCCACGTGACCCGGAAGTGTCTTCGGACAGCGCTGGCTCCCGGCTCTTAAGCGAGATGAGCACACAACCCCAGAGTCGGACACGACTGGCCCGTACGGGCAGGGGTACCTTTACCTTTTTACTGTTTCTGATCAGTTGTACACTGCCTTGCTGGTTTACAGAAAGGCAGTATAGAAACATTAAAATAAATAAATAAATAAATAAATAAATAAATAAATAACCACTACCCTGTTTTCTCACCCCTCTCTTTTCTTCTGCCCCACCCCTAAAACCCCTGACTGCCCCTGCTCTGTGGCCTCCTTTAGTCCTTTGGCTTAAGCTGCTATAATGCCTCTTGCTTGGAGGCCCTCCTGCTCTCCCCTCCCCTCTGGTCTCCCAGAACCAGAAGAGTTGTGAAGAGGGCAGAGCAAAGACAGGAACTGTGACAAAGTCAGGCAGGACTGACACTTTCAGCCCTTCAGTGTCAAGTTCAGGATACACACCTGCTTTCTGTGTCCACCAAAACATTTGACAGAAATGATTGCTGAGGAGCCTCCTCCCTACTGAGCATGTGCACAGAAATCCTCCCTAGCAACTCAACAAAAGTATTTCTCTCCCCTCAGCAAACTCTCCTTGCTTTCCTGAAAGGGGAGAGTTCTCACTGAAAATAATGGAGCCGCAGTTTGCTAGTCATTCCAGCAGCTCCATCTTCTGGCTTCAGTCCTAGTGTGCCATTGGTTTCTGTGGTGAGGTCAGGCAGAGCTGAAAGCTGAGGCCCCTTCAGAGAGAAGGGTGTCCTCTGCTGGGTTGCTTGCAGTGGCAGACCTTGGCACCTCAAATTTCTGTGGCGCCCTCTGTCATGCCAAAATCTGGTGTGTGTGTCCCTCCCCAACTCCCTCCTTCTGCTGGATGTCACAGTTGCAGCGCCCCAGAATCTCCATGCTTGGTGTGACCGAACTGGTCAAGCTCCCCTAGATGCGCTTTTGTTGCTTGGATTGGATAGCATTCGCAGGGAAGTTTCCTTGTGTTTTGCCAGCTACACAATAGCTGCTGCAATAGAAGGGGCTCTGATTGCTACCAGATGACTTGTTTATTGAGCATTTATCCGGATTTGTTTGCAGAGAGGTTAGATGACACTGTGTTGAGTTATCCCACTGTGTTGTTATCCCACAATTTCCAGTGCATCTTCCCATCATTTTTTCTACCGGGGTCTGCTCATTTTTTGTTACAGGGCCCTAGCATTCTGCCCGTTTTGAAACAGAAAGAAGGCCTCAGGCTGACTGTTTTTGTTCCACTGGTATCAGGAGTGAACAACTTCATTGGAGAGATTCTAGGTTTATTTGTTCAATTTCCTGAAAATGTTGCAGAGCAGAGCGCTATAGTCTTCTTTAATGCTTTTATGCAAACAGAGTACAGAGTATACTCTGATTTATCTTCCAGTTGTATATGCCAAGAATTAATGTTCGTTTTCCCAATTAATTATAATATTTTAAGGAACACGAGAATGAACAAAACAACAAGAATGTCCCAAGCTTTATTTATGTTTCTTATTGTTTAAATCCATGCTACCACATAGTCCCTTTTAAGTTAATTCAAAATAGCCAAAAGAAAAGGACAAATTTTAACAAAAAGCAACATTTTATTGATTTTGAAAACGGTATCTCCTTGTAAGTACATACAAAGGAGAATTAGCCCACAGGGCTGCTCCTCAGCCCTCTGTCATCCTCAGTATAGCCATCCTCAGCCATACAAAGCCCTCTGTCGTTACCAGAGAACACTTAAAGCAAAGATAGGGAACCTATAGCTCACATATGTTGTTGAATTCCAGGTCCTGTCAGGCCCCAGCCACCATGGCCATTGTTCAAGGATGGAGGCTTATAATCAACAACATCTGGATCCGCACAGGTTCCCCCATCCCTTGTTTTAAGGTGTTTGTTTCAAACTTTACAAGAGGGTGGGGGGAGAAAGAAGAAGGTCTCTCAGTCGTCCCCCACTACATCCATGTATGTTAAGAAGGAACTGAATATTTTTTTTATTTACATCAGAATTTTGCAATTCAGCTTCATTTAACAAGTGGGGACTTTTTAAGTTCACATCCACTGGGAGTTTAAACCTGTCCTTCAGCTTGTAAATAATACTCTGTGCTCTCTTAATTATTTGAAATGGTGTGTGCATGCGTACTGGGTGATTAATCAAACCCCACAACTACGGTGTCACTTCTGAACTCCCTTCTGTTGCCTGTACTAGATTTTAAATTTTGCCATATAAATTCATCATAACATTTTCCTAATCCCATTACTTCCCTCTACCAGAGAGCAACCTATGATGAAAATCTGGCTCGCAAGCTTCAGGGACCAAGCAATGATACCCCAATCTTCAACTTTACAGCTCAGGATGTATCTAAGGTACAACCCTGCTAACCCTCCCATCTAGGCTCCATATGTAAATCTGATGACTAGAATTTGAAAATCTGAAATTCAGCCATTAACACAATTGGAAGTGACAGGGAGTGTGCGCGTGTTTATTTCTTACAGAAAATATCTCCATGATAATTCTTGACAATTAGTTGACATTTTTTGACAATTATGAAGCTCCCAATTTGTTAAGAACAAGAAGGCTATACTTCAAGACAGATGTTCTGTGAACCCATACAGTAAAGAAGCTCTAAATTGTAGAAGGACATTAGCTCTATGTGTTATTACTTAGTTAGTTAGCTAGATAACCCCATCCTATCCCAAAGTACTTCACAGAGACACTATTATTCCCAGTTTACAGGCTAAGAATGAGTGACTTATCAATTCACATTTTTACAGTTTTAACATGGTACAAAAAGGGCTCATTTAATGATAAAATATACATAGTGAGCCTATGTGCATATTAAATGCCCGGGTTTTTATCTGCAATAGAGTCAAAAGCAATGATTAAGAGAGGTCTGGGCTCCTGTTTCTGTGCATATTGCAAGGAAACCCACACATTTAAACACATATGCTGCCTGATGCACATCTAGTTTGCCCTTTAATTAGTTAATTAATTAATTTTATAAAATTTATGTACCGTACTACTTGATTGTAAAAAAACCTCAAAGCATTTTATAAAAGGGAAAAATTCACAACCATACTTTTAAAACATACAAAAGTTAAAATATTAAGCCAGTTTAAAATTACCTGAAGTTAAATACGTCAAGTGTGAATACTACATCTACTGACTGAGCTGAGATATATGATTTCGGGGGTCCAGCACTTCCCTGGTTCAGACTGACCTTAGTTTTAGCAATTTTGGAGGCTTAGATCACAAAGCAATAAGCAGAATGTTTGACCTTTTTTATCTACTACCATGGAATAAGTGCTTTCAGTTGGCAACTATTAGAAGCTCATGCCTTTCTATTTTGCAAAGGCATTCTGTAACAACCATCAGAAGCAAGTAACTGAGACAGGAATTTGCTCCATTTTGTATAGCAATTTGCTGAGGCATGCTTCATGAAAGAGAAAACTAAACAAGGTAAAATTCTAGAAGGATAGGCTTTGGATGCCAGCTGGTGAAAAGCCATGAAGCACAGCCAACCCGTAGGTGATCTGACGACCCCCATCTAGTGGTGGACTCATGGCTTCATGGCTCAGTCTTTCACTGTTGGATGAACTTATGAAAACCATTCTCCTTAAGGACATGTTTTAAGGATCAAATTCAATGTGATGCAGAAGAACCATAATTAGGATGCCCCGCACACACTGAGAGAGAAAAAGAAAAGAAAGATTCCCCATAACACTGGGGGATGAGGGACTTAACCATCCCCACCACATAGCATTTTCCCAATTAAAACTGTCCTGATGTTATCTGCGCTGCAGTGAAAGATTTATAGGAAGTTCAATTTAAGGGTAGTCCATAGCCCTTCAAATTCCAAAAACAAACGTTTGATTCTATGCAAGGAGGAAAGATGGACATTAAAAAAATAATGCACACAAGAAAGCCCACTATCAACTTGTTTGTTCTCATTGTTAGATTTAAGATAGATTGCGACAAAATTAAAACAACCAGTATTTATTTATTTAAAAGGAGTACAGTACTGAATACAAAAATACACCATAAAAACAGTATCCTAAAAACAGAGATACAATGTACAAACCAGTAAAATTGTATTATATAAACAATAATTCAGTAGTAAACATGATCTAGTCAAATGAGTCACGGAAGTACCTGTCAACAATTATCTAAGTTATTTTTAGCTTGGAATACAAATTTTTATAACTAATTCAGTTACATAACATTGTGCATCCATGACCTGGAAGGCAATTAAGTATACTGCTCTCAAGACTTTCCCGGGGAAGGGAGAAATTAAAGGGGAAATGTCTGGTTATTTCATAACACAATAACAGCACACGTAGCATATGTTCAAACTCTTCATTAGCACATGGACAGGTATCATATGGTGGGTGCCTGCATGGTTTTCCCCGCTGGAAAAAACATGTTTTGGAGTGGGAGAGGGGTGCTTTTATGCAGGAAAACGTCATGAGGGAAGGGGTCGAATCCCCTCCCCCAGTGCCACACTCCTGATCAAATTTGGGGACTCCCTGCAACTTCTAATACTTTTCTTAAAAAAAGAGGGAAGAGCTGTGATTAAGATCTTCCACCTTTTGCCTAGTCCTAGTCAGGTGTTAAGCTGACACTTAAGAAGCTTCAACCTGCCAGTCTCTGTGTGATGGAAAAGTAAGTGTGTCCTCTCTGCTATCTATGGACTTCCATTAATGTTTAGTGCTCCTGACAAAAGCCAACACATGCAGGAACTATTTTTGTGCAATCCTCGTGTTTTTTGAGGGTGAAGAATCTCACAAATTGGGCCCTCAGGATAAACAAACCATGTAGAAGAGGAAATGTACATGGTGTGTCCTTTCATGAGGTTGCAGGCCTCTAACCCTCTAAGCCAGGTGACATCAGGAGCAAGACTCAGGATAACTCAGGGTGCCTCTAAATGAAATGCTTATTGAGCATTTATCCTATTTTGCCTGAAGCTTACATGGATATTACACTATGTCCAGTCTTGGTTCGGTTTTTGTACTGATTTGTTTATGGGGTGTTTATATATTTTCTGTTAATCGCTTGCTCATTCTACACTTTTCAGTGCATTTTCCTGTCACTTTTCTATCTGCAAAATGTCTGGGGGGGTGTTATAAGTAGATTTATTGTGTTAGGGCAACAGAACGTTTTAAATCCACTTTAATTGCAAAAACCTAAATTGCTAATACACACTTGAAGTCTCACACAAAATAGTGATGGTCTGAAGGTCAGTTCATTTTGGGGAGAGCAAGGGAAGGAAGCTGGAATGGAATGGAGAAATCCAAAACCCATTTGATCTCACCCATGGTAAAAACAGAGGTTGAAGTCATGTCTCAATGCACAGGTTTCATTTGGAAAGGTCCTACTGCTTGGTCCTGGGGATAGCCAGTCTCTATGAAGATGGAGGAAACAACATTGAAGTATCTGCCGTGAACTGTGATTTCAGCAATATATTGGAGTACAAATTTTGTCCCTCCACTGGGTTATATTGCAGGAATATAAAATTTCCAGCTTTGAGCAGAGGTTGATGAACGAAATAGAGTTTCGCCTTGAACGTACCCCAGTGGATGAATCAGATGATGAAGTTGAGCATGATGAGATCCCTACGGGCAAGTGCATTGCCCCAATCTTCGACAAAAGACTCAAGCATTTCCGTGTCTTGGAAGGGTACCCTGCTACCTTCACTTGCAAAATTGTTGGAATTCCTATACCTAAGGTAGGTGGTGCACAGAAATCCAACAGAAGGGAAGACCATGCTGGAGGTGTGTTTTAAATATATGGTGTATATGAAGGCTTAGAGTACAATGCCTTGTGATCACCTAGTACAGTGGTGCCTCGCAAGACGAAATTAATTCGTTCCGCAAGTTTTTTCTTCTTGCGAGTTTTTCGTCTTGCGATGCACGGTTTCCCATAGGAATGCATTGAAAATCAATTAATGCGTTCCTAGGGAAACCACCTTCAGACCAGGTCCGGGGACAGTCTGTCCCCCGACCTCTTCTGAAGGCTGGGGGGACGGACAAGGGCTTTTTCCCCACTGCCAGCCTTCAGAAGGCTGTTCTGAAGGCTGGCGGTGGGAAAAAAGCCCTTCTTCCCACCTCCCGCCCCGCAAGCTCCGGGGACAGGAGGGCTTTGCTGCCGACCGCCAGCATTTTAAAAGCCCCTGCTGTCCCGGGGCGATTTTAAAATGCTGGCGGGCGGGAGCGAAGTCTCTGCTGTCCCGGGGAGATTTTAAAATGCTGGGGGGCGGGAGCGAATGCTTCGCTCCCGCCTGCCAACATTTTAAGATCGCCCGGGGCAGCAGAGACTTCTCGCCCGAAGCAAGGGGAACTCTCCGAAGGGCTCCCCGTTCTTCGGGCGACAGGCTGCCGCCCCAAGCCTCGCGCGCCCGGCGGGACCTCCTGCCGGGCGCGCGAGGCTTGCTGACACTCGCCCGAAGCAGGGGAAGCCCTCCGGAGGGCTCCCCGTTCTTCGGGCGACAGGCTGCCGCCCCAAGCCTCGCGCGCCCGGCGGGACCTCCTGCCGGGCGCGCGAGGCTTGCAGACACTCGCCCAAAGATTTTAAAATGCTGGGGGTCGGGAGCGAAGCGTTCGCTCCCGCCCGCCAGCATTTTAAGATCGCCCGGGGCAGCGGAGAAGTCTCCGCTGTCCCGGGAAGGCAGGCGGGGGGGAGCAAAGACTTTTGCCCCCCGCCGGCCTTCAGAAGAGGTCCAGGACCTCTTCTGAAGGCCGGCTGTGGGCGAAAGTCTTTGCTCCCGACCGCCAGCAATTTAAAACAGGTCCCCGGAGATTTCCCTATGGGCTTTCGTCTTGCGAAGCAAGCCCATAGGGAAATTCATCTTGCGAAGAGCCTCCAAAACAGAAAACCCTTTCGTCTTGCGGGTTTTCCGTCTTGCGAGGCATTCGTCTTGCGGGGTACCACTGTAAATTAATTTGAATGTGGTGGGGAAGGGCTTCTTGGTGGACTGTTCAATCTGAAGTAGTCCATGAGAAGAAATGAGCCATTCTCCATTCAGTTGGATTTAATTTTTGGTGAGTATGTATAGGATTGTAGCTGTAGCAACTATCAGAGACAGATTTAGGAAAGCACAACCAGTTCAGCTACACTGGGGGCAGAGCCTCGGGGGCACCGCAACAATGGTGTAGAATGTAGTCTGGTTGAGTTCAGTGAGACATACTCTCACAGGTAAGTGTGCAGCCTAAGTCTCCTTTCTTTACAATCATGACAGGTATATTGGTTTAAGGATGGCAAGCAGATTTCAAAGAAAGATGGACATTTCAAGATGATCAGGGAGGGTGATGGGACATGCTCATTGCATATTGAAGAGACCACGAACGATGATGATGGAAACTATACATTCATGGCTGCAAATCCACAGGTAAGGGTTTACTTCCCTTTAAAAATGTATTGCACCCCTTCCCCCAAGCTTTAGACTTGTGTACAAAGCTGCATAGCTTTGGAAAGTCCAATTGACTAGTACCACTGTTATATCATAACCGTACATTGGTCTTAAACACCACAACAACAGCAATGAGGAAGGAGACAATTTAATGAATCGTGTTACTTCTCTCCTATATCGTTCTGACAGGGGAGAATCAGCTGTTCTGGTCACTTACTGGTTCAAACTCCTCCAATGCGTGGTAGATTAACAACAGCAATCCAGTCACACAGGTAAAAACAACCAACAACACCTGATCCTTGGTGTCTAGATATATTGTGAGGTAAGCATGAGTGAACTGGGCAAACTAAAGCTATGGTGGGTTCACCAGCAGTGGATGGAGGGAGATGCCCAAAGATTAAGCTTGGCTGGGAAGTTCATCTTTTTCTAAGATGGCAGCCCTGCCTCCCAAGCTCATCCCATGTTTACAGGTTTTTGCATTGCAGGGGAAGATCCCGTATACCAGAAGGAGATAAGGAACCCATCCAGGAGCGATTTTTCCGGCCTTATTTTCTGCAGGCACCTGGGGACATGGTAGCTCACGAAGGGCGGCTTTGTAGACTGGATTGCAAGGTTGGCTGGCTTTCTTTGTTTGCCCTGTTGCATTAGCATTTGATCATCTCTTCAGAGAAAATCAGTGCAGGCTGGGTTCAGGCTGATCACCACACAAAAAACCCCGACAACAACAAAACTCCAAAACTATCAGTATGTGACTTTAAAACATTTGGCTTTTGTGGAAACTTTCAACCCAGAGAAAATCACAAGCCTGGAGGGGAGCAGAGGTACTTAAAGCCACCAACTCTCTTCTTGCCCCTGTCACAGCCATACAACCCATACAACCCAAATGTGTAACTGAAAGTATAAATGAAAAAAAAATGCACTCTTCGAAGGAATAAATGGCATCATAAGCAAATGGATCATAAAATATATGTTTTTGACATGGTCTCCTGCTCAGTGCAGGTGTAACAGAATTTGTCGCCTTCTGTTCCTCTTTAACATTGTACTTCAGCGGGGGTGGGGGCCCTCTTCCGGCCCTGAACCACGTCCTGCATTAAAGCTGACAAAGATGGCATGAATTTTCTCACAGTTTCCTCTTGAGAATCTTTGGAGCACCAAGGAGCAAAACAGAAATGGAACAATAAGTGATGGATGTTTTAATCTCACTCTGGACCTAATCTGTTTTACTTAAAGGCATGGGTGGGGAAATTTAACAACATCAATAATAATGATGTCACTGTTGGTTTTTGTTTGCTTGCTTTTTTGTTTGTCTATTAGGTGAGTGGGTTACCACCTCCTGACCTGATGTGGCTTCTGAATGGCAAGCCAGTTTTACCAGACACCACTCATAAGATGCTGGTCAGAGAGACAGGAGTGCACTCTCTGCTTATTGATCCGCTTACGCAAAACGATGCTGGAATTTACACTTGCATTGCCACTAACAAAACAGGACAAAATTCATTCAGCCTGGAGCTTAGTGTTGTAGGTAAGGCTATTTTTAGATGTTTAATGCAGAGGCTACATCATGCATTGCAGTGTCATGGTTCCGTTGGCCAAAACAGAGGCAAATGAAAATCCTCATTATTCGAATTTATTGTGTCTCTTGATACTAAGGAAACTTGCCCCATTTCATACCTGAAGGATGGAATCAACCTTTGTCATGCAAAATATTGCTGGAATTACATGAGAGTAAGAAGCACCTTGCTAGGGCACTTACACAAGGAGACCTATTTTAAAAGGCCTTCCCCCATCAGTGGACCTTTAAGGAGAAGGCAGCCAAATCCCCTTCCCTTCAAGCTCCTATGCCATGGCCGTTCTTACTGGACCCTGACATCACACAAATCCAGGATTATGATGTGGCACTACAGGTCTTCCTGTAGGGGGGTTGTGTGACAACAGCATTATATTTATTTGTATATTGGAAGAAAGGCAGAATGCATGTTTGTTTTTTGAAAAGCAAATCAATCAACAGTGGACTACCAGAAGTGGTTCCTTTCCTCCAGAGGAAGCGCCTTTTTTTGGAGGAAGGGAACTTTAATATGTAATCCAGTATAGTGATATGGACATGGCAGGAGCAAAACAGGGCTGAAAATGATCAAGCTTCTGTCTGCCAATTCCAGCAATTTCCATTAAGAAAAATGTGTCTTTGTTGTAAGGTTTGTACTCATGCCCTCTCCCTGCCAACACACGCAAACAGATACATACACATATTTTGGGGTCTTCCATAAACTATGCTGTTGTGAAGTGTATTGTTTCCGATGGTGGTCTGCAATTTGCCAAATAACCCTGGAGAATCACATGAGTAATTTTGTAGCGTTATAAATTTTGTTTGCAGGTCTGAATGTGAACATTGAATTAAAATGTGGTCCAGTGGGGCTGGGGGCAGGGTGAAGGGTGAGAGAGAAACCAGATAGGAGAATCACACAAGCCTTTGGTTCCATCTTTTCCAGAAAAAGAAGTTAAGAAAGCTCCAGTGATTCTTGAGAAATTACAGAACTGTGGAGTACCAGAAGGACATCCAGTCCGGCTAGAATGCAGAGTGATTGGAATGCCACCCCCAGTCTTTTATTGGAAGAAAGACAATGACACCATTCCTCCCCATAGAGAGAGGATGAGGTAGCTTTAAATATTTTAAAAATGGGATAATACCTGACATTCTACAAGTGGGGAGGCATTTCCTTGCTCAGGAAAGTTAATATTATCCAGCATAAGGCCTAAGAAACAGCAAGGATTAAGTTCCAAACATGAAGTCCATATTACCCATGAAGTCTATTTTATCCACCATAAGGGCAGGAGCATGTATGGCTCTGTTTATACAGGTTTTGTGTAAGAAGACTGCCCTATTAAAGAGAGGGATCCTGCAGCAGAAGTCTTTATGCCTGTAAATTGCTGCGTAAGCATGCACTGAACAACCACAATTGGCCATGGCTGCATGTACCTTGTATGTATTATGTATGCTTACAAGTAGACAAGCATATAAACACGGAAAGAAAATGTTTGTAAGAAAAGTTATCGTTCCTTAGTGTTGTTCCATACAGGAGGAGCAATGCAACATGTCATTTCCAGGACACCTAGTCTAGTCTAAGAATTTAGGTGCACTGGGAAAATTTTCTTTCTCGTGGTTACTACTGTTGTACCTGGGAGAGAGGGACAGATGTGAACATTGAAAGGAAATTGCTCAGTACTGCCTGGCAGCAGCTTTCTAGGGTTTCAGACAGAAGTCTTTCCCAACCTTACCTGGAGATGCTGGGTACTAAGCCAGGCCTTACACAAAATATTTGTGTAGTTTCCTTTCCTTGTATGGTTATAACAGCCCCAGTTATATCAGCAAATAATATAAGAACCCTTGGTATTCTTGTTTTCAGTATGCATCAAGATGCTACAGGATATGTTTGCCTTCTGATTCAGCCCGCTAAGAAAGTGGATGCTGGCTGGTACACTTTGTCTGCAAAAAACGAGGCTGGTATCGTCTCTTGCACTGCTAGACTTGACATATACGGTAAGTGGGTATAGTTTAAGTCTGGGATGCAGAACCTGTGGCCATCTGGGTGTTGTGGGACTCAACTCACATCAGGCCCAGCAAGCAGGGCCAATGGTTAGGGATGGTGGGAGTTTGTAGCCCACCAATATCAGGATGGGGGCTCAGCTTCCTCAGCCCTGATTTCAGTAATAAAATAATTGAAGTGATGTACTTCACCAATACCAATTCCATGCTGGTAGCTTGTCGCCTTTTCTCATCTTATTCCTCTGTTGGGATATTCTCTTGAATTTAGCATTGTCCTTTTAATTTAGAGATCTTTTGCTTGGTTGACATAATAAAGGGAGATAAGTTTGCTCAGGGCTATGCTGTTTCAGCTGAACTGAGACTCTTGAGATTCCAGGTATTGTATATGGATGAGCTTTGAACAGAGGGTGACTAGCAAAGACAGCGACTTAGATAATGGAGAGGCAATTTAGAAGCAGATTGGTCCGAGTTGGATACCGAAGAGTCAGGAAGACAGGATACAAACAAATAGAATGTATTTGGTGGGATTAAGGAAGGGAAGGGACTGGCTCTGGGGGGAGTAGAAGGTAAGTTATTGTATGCTTTCACCACATCCATTTTTGTGCCTCTGCCATGCCCATTTTACCATGCATCCCTTGGCCACAAACGGCATTAGCCATCCCTGTACTAGGGAGTTCTCCAATTTGAGTAGCTTGGGAACAGTTGACAACTGGAAACATCAAGTTCCCACTAGTTCTTAGGTTTCAACTTGTGTGTTTGTAGGGGTAGACATTCAGTGTCTTTATGTATGATTGAAGAGAGATGTTTGAGTTTTGTGTACGGTGTTTATGATTTTTGTCGTTGCTTTTGGCTCCAGCCCAGTGGCATCAACAGATCCCTCAGCCAATAAAGATTCGCCCTGGTGGCACCCGATATGCAAATCTCTCGGGGCAAGGACTCGACATTTTTTCTGCTTTCTCGACTGTTGAGAATCCAGTGCGGTTTTCGTCACCATCCCAGCCTGTGGTAGAAAGTGAAGAACTTTAAAAACCTCCGATTCCAATCTTACCTGCAAAAAAACAACCACCACCCCGTAACTAGAACTGTGAAAAAGAATGGAAGGTACAAGCCAGGAGGCTCAAGGTTTACAAGCAACTTGTATTTGTTGAGTAACTGTAGGGTTGCTGCAATTCCTGTGAGTAACATACTGTACAAGATCTTAGTTCAGCATTGTACTGTGGGGTCACTGTAGCATTGAATGCACTGCAGCAAGTTCAGTGCTCTGTTGTTTTCCCCCTCCCAAGTATTATGAGGGGAGGCAGCTGAGTTTTAAGCTGTTAAGAGAAAAAGCTCTGCCCACTTTTTTCTGCTTGAATTAAAAAACAAACTACTGTACCTTAAACGCATAATGGTAAAGGTTTTGGACGTCCAGCTGAACACGACCAGGAGAAGTATTGACATTGTGAGAATTCTGAAAGAGGGTGAGCTGCATGACTTTGAATATAATACTTAAAAGGTGGCTGACAGTCACAAAGCACAAGTCAAATGTCAGCAAAAAAAATGGAAATGAATCGTGAAAGATCTGTTCAGGAGGAGTACACAATTACATCAGTAAGAGATTTGGTGAATGCAGATAGGCATAGCATTTCAAAAAGGAACCACTAAATACAGCAGAACACTTTAAAAAATGTTGTGGGCTTATGTTCCATGAATTTATGTACTCATGGTGTATCAAATCCTAATGGAAAAACACCATGCATATAGTTTGGATGTTAACATGTGCAATTAAACAGCTTATATCCTACAAAACACACATTATATAGACACCACAGCTACCTTTGCTATGTGCATTTTGAAGTGTGCTTACTAGTTCTTTTCTCATTTTAGGAATTCCCTAATTTGAAACAAAAATAAATAGCATACAGGTTATTTTTGTTTCATTGTGATATGAATTCCTTTCTCAGCCGGAGGTTTGGATAATTGTGTGTGTACAGTGGAAGGATGCCATCCAAATACTTTGCAAATGGACCTATAACTACCCGACATTTTCAGATGGACATAAATGAGTCCCACCTGACCATCCTACTTCCTTCCCCGCCCCTCCACTTTGGACACACACTGATGAGAAAATACTTATACAGGTATTCTGTACTAAACAAACTATGGCCCATTCCAATCAAATAAATTTGTTTCATTTTGGGTACTAGTAGAGCTCCCAGTTTTCAAAGAGGTAATTATGCATCTGATTCTAGGGCAAAACTTTAGCATTTTTGGTAAAATGTCCCACCTGCACCCAGAAAAAACAATTGTTATTTGCATGTGGCAGAATGAACACACACAAAAGCTATTTATGAGAGAGAGGTATTTACTAATACATCTCATTAACCAGTTTAACTGCATTTCTGTTTTATTCAGTATTCTAAACAAAATCTCAAAGCTAGGGATATGTGTTAGCATTTTCTTAATGTTTAAGCTATTTCTCAGGTGTGTGATTCCAATTTTATTGCTAAGGGATTATTCTGTTGCCATCAATAGCCACTTGGCTGTATAATCTCCCTACAGGTTGAACCCTTCCAAGAAATAGAATTAAATTCTAATCCAAACCAAGAGCCTGAGAATTTTCTACTATTTCACTAGTGATAAGCACCCGCACCCACCATACACACATGACCTGAGATCACTAGCTTTTTTCACTGAAGAATCATCAAGCTCATGGAAGTCTGCCAGAGATTCAGTGTTTACAAATATAGACAGGAGAAGATATGCTAAGACTTTTTAACATGAGCAAGTTTTAAAGGATTGATACAAATGAAAGGCAGGTGACTTAGTTTGGTATGATGTTCCTGATGGCTGTTGATAGAGTAAAACAGAATATGACAACTGTTGACTGAATTCCATCGTTTCTAGTTAGCTCAAGGTCTGATTCTGATGTCAGTAAGACAGAGTTCAAAAAGAAGGAAATGTCATTTGAGACCATATCCTCTGCTTTCTCATAAACAAGCAGGCCCTACCAATAATCAAAGTAGGGAACTGCTTCAGGCCACAAATGCTGGGTGCCAGTGGCAGCAGCACTTTAGCTGTTCCTCTTAAGTCTCCTCCCCACCGCCAGCCATTATCTTTGTGAAGGACAGAGCTTTATGGCTTATCTTGGACCTCAGGCAGCACAATGTCCTGGGTTGCCTGGTAATGCTCTCTAAATTAGGCCAGAAACTGGACTATTCTAATGCACTAATATCATGAGATCAAGTGCTTTTAAATGGGTGTGCTACCTTCTACAAAGAGCAGAACTTGGTGGGAGGAACTTGTCCCCAAAATATATTCTAAACTTTGATAAATTAAAATCGTACTCAGAATGTGTACATGAAATTAAGGATTACTTTTAACTGCCCACATAGAGAAAGATGGAGTCCATCTTCTTAAGTGTTAAATATAAATAATATCATTGTGTCATTTTTGCTATCAACACTTTTGTAGAGAAAGGTGCAATAAATGGGGGATTGCTGTTTCAAGAACAAAGGAATACTATGATTTATGTTAACAGCAGAGAAGTCTCTTAGGCAGTGCTTTTCTTCTAGGGGGGGAAAAGGGTGCTGGTACTGCGTACCCTTGTATACCCCCCGTTTCCCCTAGGAAAAAACACTGCTCTCAGGACACAAAAATGTTACAGCAAATGTCCAAAGTTTGGTTAAAGTTTAGAGGTATTCAGCTACTGTGTTCCATCAGTGCAAGAATTTCTACTTGTGTGGCAGGACTTTCTGCCCTCTCCCTTCCCTTAGATTTAGGAGTTAGACGGGGTTCCATTGTGCAAGCAGAAATCCCTGCACTGATGGGACATTCACTTAACACTATGTTGAATTCCACCCTTTCTATTCATGTGTAAATGCTCCAGACAATAGCTGTGCCCAACCTGAAAAGTCAGATGCAGCCAACTCCCAATTTACACAGGGGTTACGTTCTAAGCAGTGCAATTTTTCTAGAAAAAGAGGTGCCAGAACTCACCATTAACGCCTCCATTGTTCTCTTATAATGGCAATGGTGCCCACCTGAGGTGATGGAACTGAGTTCCACTGAAAATAAACCCTGGTTCTGAGGTACTGCAAGCGTCACTGAAATTGTGTATATTTGAAATACCATTGGAAAAGCCTGCAAACACCATCTAAACCTCTGGAAATGCTTGAACAACTCTTTAAAAAACAACAACACTTACCAGGCACCAAATTCCACCACAATCACTCCTTTCAAACCTCCTTTCTCAAACTCCAACTCTTCACCGGCATCAGCTGTTGGTAGAAGGGCTCCTGGGATTCCTAGGTGCTGTTTTCATGCCTTTTGCCTTTTCTGGGCTCTTTAAGGGCCGTTTTTGCCATTTTAAAAGTCACTTCCAGGTTCGGCACAATGTGTGCATGTATAGTTGCGCAACAGTTCAATGTACGTAAACTGGGAGTTGCCTGTATACACCAGCGAATGTTAAAAATTACCTATACGTGATTGGCAGCATTCATTGGTTGTGTATATCTAAAAAATGCAAGGCATATAAATATTTCTGGAAATTAAAGACATTACTTAGAATTGTCAGTGTTCATGTGTGAATGTCAACATTCAGTGAATTTTGTTACAACTGATTTAATTATAGTTTATTTCAATGGATTTTAGTCATGACTGACAGTTGTTGATCCCCCACCCAAAACTCCCAGACTAGTAGCCGTGTCAGGTATGTTGCAGCAAAAACAACCAAGGGTCTTGTGGCACCTTAAAGACTAAAAATATATGTATTATGGCATAATCTTCTATTGTCTACAGTCAACCACGGCAGATGCATGAAGCTTTATCTTGAGATATACACACACACACACACACACACACACACACACACACACACACACCTGAGGGGGGATTGTAAGGAGTGAGGTCAGAGGAAAATGAAATGCATAAAGAACAGAGACAGTGATAATTTACAAAACAGTTGTTGATAAGATAGGCACCCTGGAATTAGGTCAGCTAATTAACACATGAAATGTGATAATAGTAATAAATACCTTTGTCCCATTTCAAGTTGCAGTTGATAGCATTGAAGCTGTACTTTAATTTTAATTCAGTGGTTTCACATTGCCCTCTCCCTGTGAAGCTCTTTTCTTAAACAACAGCCATATTAAGGGCAGTTTTACAATATTTTATACAACTACTTTTGATTCTGTGATATCGGTTGTGTGGATAACATATGAAAAGATAGTTGCAATCATTTATATAGCCAAAATGCAGTACAGATACTCTGCCAGCGTTTTCTTCTTCTGCAATATTGTTTGAGCTCTTTTTTCCCTTCATTTCATTGAACAGAAGCCAAACTGCCTTTGCACTATGAACAAATTATTTTGGCTTATGCAACAAAAGATGTACCTGCAAAAGGACAGAATTTTCATAACAACAAAATAAACTTTATCTTTTAAGTACTCACTCAGGACTCGGGTGGTTCAATAAAATTTAACAACCCTAAAATGAGCACGGGGGGGGGGTTAATTGAGCTTTTCAAAATTCATATATTTATAAATGTATTTTGTTCCTTTCTGAGCAAACTTTGCAAAGCCGAAAAGACATCCCCAGAATCAGCACATAGTGTATGAGAATACTATTAAGCCAGAAAGCTGCTTCCTGTCCTTTGAGACTATTTAAAATATAGCTGCTCAAATCTCTGTGTGAGTTCCAGCAGAGAGCAGCATCAAAAGCACAACATTGAGGGTGTGCTGCAGAAATGTTAATAATGAAGGCTTTGAAGATTCACCAACTCAAATATTTAGTATTGGGAAACAAACAACCCTGTGTGGTTCTCATATGTAGGCAAAACATGAACATACCTAGCAGCATTGATATCCTCATATTTTAGAATGACTAAAAATACTTTTTAAAAATTATGTCAGCTGACCAATGTCTGCTTCAAAATATGTTGGAAACTTGCTTTGAGTCAGAGAAATGTGATGTGTAATACAAATTGTGGATTTTCTTTTTAATAAGCTGCACCAGAAGGATTTAAACACAGTTCTCTGAGAAGTGTTCTCATACCCTCTGTAAACTGTAACTGAGTTAATATTACAAGGAAAATCGAACAAAACTTTATAGCTGCTAAATTAAATACTGCACAAGCCAGTGGCCTTATAGTCTACCAATTTGGAGTTGTTACATTTCCATTAAAATGGGTTTTTATCTTCATAATATGTGAAGGTGCATACCTTCGCTAGGGGAAAAAAGGGGGGGAATAAATGTTGCAATTTTAAATAATATTTTAAATGCATATAAAAGGAAATGTCAGAATGTTCAGCAAATGTATTTTCCCTCCTCCATTAAATAAATGCTTCAGAGTTGCATTGTGTGAGTATCTCTTTCACTGGCATGTGACTTGAAATTCCATATGAACAATCCAGGTAAGATTTGGCACAAAACAATTTTCCTCACTGAGCAAGCGAGGTCCATGCAAGAACCAGATGAATATGTTTGGATCAGTACCCAATTCCATTGCTGTATCAGCAACGACAAGTACTGTAGCGATCAGATGCACATCTGAATGAGAGGCATTCCAGTGGGCTGATTCAGATCCCATTGTTTGTCTTGCTGTGTGTCACTCAGAAAAAGGGGGTTGTACTGAATGCCAGAAAAAGGGCACTTGATCATCTTTGCCGGCTGCTGAACTTAATCAGTTAATGCCCAATGTGTTTCTCCCCCTCCCCCTCAATAATATACAATATACAAGTTGATAAAGAGCAGCAAAACATATCAGGATTTATATTTTAAATTACCACTGCACCTTGGCTTTGCCTGCTGCATTCATATTTTAACAAAATCTGCATCAATGCTTTTCTGTAAAATCCTGGTGCCAGTAAGCAAATATTAGCTACACTTTTAGCAGCAGCATTCAGGTCTTGTGAACAACAGTGATTAAATGATCTTTTAAATAGCTACAAGTCTCCACATGGGGAAAGATTAAAGTTTTGGGATTCCTCCCCCACTCATAGTGCTGAAGGCATGTCACCCATGGTGTGCATTTCTCCCACTCGTTAGAAGGATCTCTGGTAAATACATTTTGGGTGTTTTTGCAAGTGCTTAATGGACAGACCAAAGTCATGGGAAAGGCTATAGAGGGGGTGTTTTCTGGCCACCCATTCTGAGTAATGGATGCCATTATGTGGCTCTATGCATACCAAACAACATCAACAGGGCACAAGCCGTAGAGGACACAAACTCTCTGCAATTGGTTGACAATAATGGAGGAACGTTTTCAACTGGTAGCAGGCAAACCATACTTAAAATGTAATCCCTCACTAGCCTTTTAAATATTCTTAGAAGAGCTTTAGTATTTCACTAATAAGCTATTCTTTATTGCAGCAGTATGGCCACATTTAGAGAGATTAAAATCTTCTAGTATTTTTGTAGGCAAAGGCAACTGTGTTAAATCTTGAGTTACATTTTATGTTATGTGCTGACATTTGGGCATGATCCAGCCAAAGTAAAACACTTAATGAAGTTGCACTTAATGCATGGACCTTTTAAACGTCTTCTCGTTAGAAAGATTACTCACCATCATGTTATCAGAAATGATAAAGGCACCCGATTCCTCCCCCCACCAGAGGAGCAAACAGCTTTTTGTGTGGCAGAAAAGGTTGAGGGTTGTAGCCAGCTAAGTTTTACCGTACTTAGGGTAGACCCACTGAAATTAATAGACCTAGGGTAGTCATGGCCATTCATTTCAACATAGAACTAACATTGACCACAACCCTAAATGCCATCAAGTTCTACACCACTTTCCAGATCAAATCAGCAGACTCCTATTGGCTGCATATAGGCTGTGTGCACGCCTGTTTGCTCTGCATTCAGAGAACTCCCACTGCTTTGGGAAGCCTTAGTCCCAATCTATCCTGCCTTTTCTTATGAAATACTGTGTTTCATACTGTGTTCAGCTTCAATCTGAACTGAGAAAAAGAACAGTTCATCCGTGTTTTAAGCTGGTGATAATTCACAGCCTTAGAATAATAATATATTTAAAAACTCAGTAAAATCACCACAGATCTCCAAGCCTAATGTGTGATTAATTTTGCCCCACGGTGTCAGATAGGGAGCAACCCACTGAATCTCCCACAAAAAACTTCTACATAAATACACAGCACCTGGGAGTCCAGCCACTGGGGCCCTGTGAAATATCCCACCCACTGCATAAGAACAAGTATTGGCAGTATACCATATTTTTTGCTCTATAAGACTCACTTTTCCCCTCCTATAAAGTAAGGGGAAATGTGTGTGCATATTATGGAACGAATGCAGGCTGCGCAGCTATCCCAAAAGCCAGAACAGCAAGAGGGATCGCTGCTTTCGCTGCTCAGCGATCCCTCTTGTTGTTCTGGCTTCTGAGATTCAGAATATTTTTTCCCTAAAATTTAGGTGCGTCTTATGGTCTGGTGCGTCTTATAGAGGGGAAAATATGGTATATTTTCCTGCTGTGAACTTGATGGAAAGCAGATATCTGCCCCAAAGGTCTTGATACCCCGCTTTCTCCACACCACTTGATAAACCCCCTGCTTCCGTTACTTCAATATGTTCAGCCTACTGCTAACACCATAAATGACTGGACAATATTTCAAAAAAAATTCAGAATATTGGTCATGATATATAATATTGGCATATCACATCCAACTGACAAGCACTGATGGAAAGAGTTTCCCTGCTGGCTCAATGCTAAAGTATGATGTAAGGCACAAGGCTGTTCATTCTGAGTGTGTGAAAGAGAAAGGCAAAGATAGATAGATTTTCCACAGGCTCGCTCTTTTGCTGCTTGCTCAATTTAAACTCAATACATGCCTGGCTATAACAGTGGTATAATACAGCATATTAGAAAATGAAACCAGTTCAAAGGTTGTTTATAATGAGATGTGTTGCTGTGTCCCCTGATCCTAAGGCATGAGAAATAAAACCAGCCTTGTATTGAACATTTGCTGATGTTACATTAACTATCCAAATTCCAAAAGTAATTTCCACAGTAGCACCTTTACTGGGTACATATAACTCCCTCTGTAGGAACCTACTTCTTTTAAAATGTAATAACATTTTGTACAAGAGAAAACCATGTTTATTTGTAGTTTAGGTTACAAAATTTCCTATGGCTTCAAGGAAACAGAACAATGTAAAAAAATACAGAATCAGCATAACCTACCAATTCTAAAGTCTCTATTTTCATGCAATTATTTTATCATAATGCCATTATCACATGAACTAATCTGGTTTTACAGTCAGCACAGAGGAACATCTAAGCATTCCATAAACACTATTTGAAACTAGCTCTATTTCGAGCATACGCCAGAGAAGTGGTAAGTTGTAGATGAGTTAAACCTACACAATTTGGTCTCAAAGAACCTGTTATGGCAAACTTACAAAGTTTAAGTTGCTTCTCTGAGGACTAAACAGTATAATTTCTGTTTTCTATTTTAAGATACACAATCAAATCAGGAAACAAAAATGCATCCTCAAAGTAGGAATTAATGAAGCATCGGAAAATGTTCCAAATCAATTTGTTCCAGGGAGCTCAGTGCGTTGCAGGCAAAGAACAAGGCTACAACAACCAAAGATTACCTTATGCAGCTGTTTTAAGTTCCTGTTCTCAAATACTTTTACACAAAAGACCAAGCGGGCCTTTGCAAGTCCACAGTGATTTCTTAATTGCCCATTTAGTAGTGGTCTGGCTGGAAACTGAAAAGTCTCTGCGCATAAGGGTCTGTTTCAGCTGCCACCTTCTGCCCTGTGTAAGCATGGCAACTCTCCTGGTGGAAATGCTCACAGTGAAAGTTAATCCAGCCTTTCTCTGCACTGTATCTTTCAGCTTCAGCGAGGATTCTTGTCAGGGCCATAATGTAACTCAGGGCCATCTGAAGCGTCTCGTATTTGGACAGCTTTTTGTCTTGCCCCCACTGGGGGACCACTTTGCGTAGGCGGTCAAAGGCAGTGTTGAGCCCTTGCATTCTTCTCCTTTCCCTGGCGTTGGCAGCCAGCCTGCGCTTGGCAGTGCTCTCCACGCGCTCAGAGCCACACTTTGCTGCACAGACCGTTCCGTTTCGGCACTGGAGGTCCGTTTCCAAGCTAGCATCCATGCTGCTATTCAGTTTGCAGGGTTTCATGTGGGATGCTTTTGCAAATAAACAAATGAATGAACCTCAGCCAGTGAATGCGTTGGTAGACAGAAAGCTTTTGCTGCGATTCTCCTTTTTCGTTCTCGTTTTAAAAAGAAAAAGAAAAAAACCCAGCTTCACCTGGAGTTCAAGAAGATGGACTTTTTTGGAAAAGCAACATCTCCCCACACTTGCAAAACAATACTGAGGCTTAAAATTGTTCCTTCACCCCTCAGATTAAAGACTGAAATCAGGAGTGCACATGGCAATTAATTGGATGTTTTTATTTGTCTTCATTTCATTCTGTTTGGTAATGACGGGGGAACAAATGGCATCGCTGTTCTCAAAAGTTCAGGTTTCAAATGGACCAAAATATGGAGGAGGAGTCCTTTTAATCCAAAAAAAGTTTCAATGGACAGGAAAAATAAATAAAAATCTATTCCAATTGACTGTACAGTAACAGTGGGCAGAGAGGAATAAAGTCTTCCTGATTCTTCTTCAAGTGATGCTGTCTTACGCGGATGCTAAGACAGAGAGAGAGAAACCCTCTTGCTACTTCCTCGGTTGCTAGTGTTGGTCAGTGAGCCTAAATTACAAGCAAGGGAAGTCTTTATAGAGGCACTGGCAAAAGCTGAACAGGTGGCAGCAGGTGGGTGGGCGGCCCTGTATTTCCATCCCAGCACCTTCCCACCCTGGGAACGACACAAAAAAACCTCCTCCAACAAAATCCTGACATTGCAGGCTTCATCTGTTGAAAAGTCTCCCAAAGCCATGTCTGTCCAGCACTAACAACTTGCCATCTGGACTAGTGTCTGGCTGGCCCCACAAGAATCACGACAGCTAAGCAAAAGGTCTTTTCAATGAATAACCTTCTGCAGCTCAGCAAAAACCTTTCCTGACACATCACAGCATTGAGTCTGAATTTGCTTGAAAGTGCTTGGTTGGGAGAAGAAGCTGCTGCTAATAAGGATATCTAAGCCCAAGAGGAAGAGAATTTGCAAACAGCTTTAAAGGAACACACAAGCCTAACTGCAAAGTGAAGCATGTTGGGCATATGGCAGAGTTAGGGATTTTCCCAATTGCCACAGTGAGAAGTGTAATATTTCATAAAGCACCAATGAACCTCAATGTGTGTGTGTATAGTTGCTTATATATATTTGAACTGAACTTTAAATATTTATAATATTCAAATTATTTAAAAAATGGATTTAGAAATC